TATTAAATTTGAATAAAGGTATTTTCTAAAACCCGTGATGAATATCTCATACCAGAGTTTGGAAATTTATGGCTAATACCATCATTCAACATTCATCTTTCAGTGGGTAGTAAATATACTTGTGGCAACAATTAGATTCATCGCATAGTAACGAGTTGCCATAGTGACAATAAGCTCATAAACTTTGGAACGACAATTAATATATCTCTGACTTTTGAGTTTTTAACAGCATAAGTTTCTTTCATGTACTTAGGTATTCTTAACTAGTAACTAACTAACTAAAATAAATAAATATTTAAATACTAATGGAGTCATATTTTAAATGCTTATCTCTACCTCGTAAATTGGTTGACCCGGATATTTGAAGACATCATGTTAGAATGATGACCAACGGCAAAATAGAAACCAGTTAACAACTTTGATTATTTCCGGTTCTTAAAAAAGTAAGATCAGTATTTTATCTTACAATTTTTAATTGATCAACTTTTGTGTGTTATTTTATATTTAATTCTGTTTAGTAAGTTCAAGTTTTTTGAAAATTAAATGCCTCCTAACAGCAAAACTCAAACTGTCGAACTCTCTCGTATTGCTTTCTGTGCAACTTCATTTTGGGAAAATAATCCAGAATTATGGTTCATGCAATTAGAATCAAATTTTAATTTATCTGGTACCACATCAGATCAAACGAGATTTCACTCAGTTATAGCTGCATTATATGCAAAAGTTCTGGCATACGTATCTGATATTGTGCGTAATCCTCTGACAACTAACATGTATAATCAGCTGAAAGCAAAAATTTTAGAGCAGTTTTCTCAATCAGAGAACTCTAAAATGCATATACTTTTACAAGAGTTACAGTTAAGAGATAAAAAACCGTTACAAAGTTTATTTGAAATGCTTAATTTATCTGCCTGTAATGTAAGCGAGGAAGTATTAAAATCCATTTGGCTTCAAAGACTTCAAATTTCAATTCAAAAGATATTATCAGTATGCAGCGATAACATTAGATAGTTTGGCTAAAATAGCTGATAAAGTTAATGAGATATTTTGGTTACACACCTGAAACAGCGGTTGTAAGTTCTGGTGCACTTTCTCTTCGAACCTTAAAAGATGAAATCATGACATTGAAAGTAACAGTAGAGTGTACATCCCGTAGTAAATTTCAGCAATGTAGTGAAAGCAGAAAGAGAAATTCTAGCAAATGAAGAAGTCAAAGTCATTATGTTAAATCGCAAACTCACGATTTGTGCTGATATCATAGCCGTTTTGCTCAAAGAGCTAAAAAATGCATTTCCCCATGCAAATGGCAAAAAAACTTCTGGATGCCTCGCTATTAGCGGCGACAGATGGTAGTCAAGCGCACTGCCACTTATTAATTTTGAATAAAAGTACCCTTTTTCGATTCTTGATTGATAGCGGTGCTGCAGTTAGTTGCATTCCTAACTATCCCAATATCACAAATTTTAATGGAAGCTCAAGAATTTACTTCAATTTTCAAAATTAAAACAAAAGTGATGGAGAATTTGTGGTGATTTCAGGAAATTAAATTCCATTACCTTGCCTGTTACCCTTTACCACATATGCATGACTTTTCTCAATGTTTAACCAAAAAAAAAAAAAAAAATATTTCCAGCAGAATAGATCTAATCAAGGCATATCATCAAATTCCAGTATAGCATCTGATATAGAAAAGACAGCGGTAATTACTCCCATTGGATTATATGAATACACAAACACGACATTTGTGTAAAAAAATGCAGCTCAAACATTTCAAAGATTTATTGATCAAGTTTTACGAGGTTTGGATTGCTGTTATGCTTACCTCGATGATGTACTTATAGCATCAAAAAATGAAACCACACACAAAACTGATTTAGAAAAGGTGTTTGAACGATTGAAGAACTACGGACTTAAAGTTAATTTATCTAAATGCATTTTTGGGCAAAAAGAAATCCGATTCCTAGGTTTTCCAGTTTCATCAGATAGTATATCCCCATTACCAGAAAAGATAAAAGCTGTATCCGAATACCCTTTACCTAACACTGTAAAGGATCTAAGGAGATTTCTTGCAATGCTTAACTTCTACCATCATTTTATACAAAATGCAGTTGAGACGCAAGCTTGTCTGTATGATTTGATTAAAGGAAAAATGAAGAACGACACATCAGAACTTACGAGGCCCACCAGCGGCCGAGCGGTAAAGTCACTGAACACTGGTAGTTCGGTCTGAGGTTCGAATCCCGCGAACGGGCTGGCTGCATGGGTGTTTTCGTGGTTTTCCCCATGTGTAACGTGTATACGAGCCAGTTTCCCTTAGAAAGTCCTCCACGAAGGCATCCCTCCCCTTGGGCAGATAGCCCTCGAGGCTTTGCCATTATCACACACACACACACACACATCAGAACTTACATGGGATGTTAAGACAAAAGATGCATTCAACTTATGCTAGCAACTATTATCCAATGCTACTATGTTGGCACATTCTGTTCAAAATGCGAAACTTTCATTAGTTACCGATGTTTCAGAAATAGTTATTGGATCCGTATTACAACAACATATTGGTAATAAGGTTCAACCCTTAGGATTTTATTCCAGAAAATTAACACCTTCTGAAAGTAAATACAGCACTTATGATAGAGAGCTTTTGGCAATATATTCAGCGGTTAAATTTTTTCAGCACGTAGTCGAAGGTCAAGATTTCGTGGTATTCATTGATCACAAACCTTTGATTTATGCTCTACAATAAAAGCATGATAAAGCAACACCTTGCCAAATTCTTATTTAGATTTAATATCACAATTCACTACCGATTTGAGATATGTTTGTGGAAGTAATAACACAGTAACAGGAGCTTTTTCGAGAATTCCAGAAATTCATTTGCCATAAGTTATTGATTATGATGAATTGGCTCGTGCTCAGGAATATGGTAGCGATTTGCAAACCCTTCTCAAATCCAATACTGGTCTTGTTTTTAAGCAATTAAATTTTCCTTTAACAAATCTTCCAATTTATTGTGATATATCTTCAAAAAACATTCGACCGTCCTAAAAAGTTCAGATTTCAAGTTTTTGAAACGTTGCACAACTTATCTCATCCAGGAATAAAAGCAAGTACAAACCTAATAAAAACTCGATTTGTATGGAAATCACTCAATAGTGATATCAAGAACTGGTGCGAAAACTGTCTAATGTGCTAAAAATCTAAAATTCGTCGGCACATTAAAAGTCCTCTTGGTACATTTTCAGTAGCTGATGTTAGGTTCAGCCATATACATATAGAGATAATTGGCCCACTTCCACCATCAAAAGACTACAGATATATTTTAACTTGCATAGATAGATTCACTATGTGGCCGGAAGCTTTTCCGATGCCTTACCAAACTGCTGGAACTGTAGCTGAGACTTTTTACTGTGGATGGATTGCTAGATTTGGAGTACCTGATGCCATATGACTGATCGTGGTACCACCAGTTTCGAAAGTGAATTGTTTAGATCACTCACAAAATTCCTAGGAACTCACAAAAAAAGAACTGCCTTTCATCCAATTTTTAACGGTATTGTAGAACGCACGCATCGACTACTAAAAGCATTCATTAAATGTCATGCAACAATTAGATGGAAAGGTATTGAATCTTCGCCAGCTGAAATAGTCTATGGAACTTGCTTCTTCCAGGAGAATTTTTTCTCAATTCTTATTCAAATGTTGTTCCTACAAAAAACTTTGTCGACAGTCTTTGTCAACAGATGCAACTTATTCGACCATCTTCTGCTTCGCGGCACTCTTCGAGCAACGTGTTCATTTGTGATGATTTACTTACAAGCTCGCATGTCTTCCTTAGACGAGACGCTGTGCAAAAACCTTTAGAGCAACCATACCAGGGACCATTCAAAGTATTAGCTAGGACTGAAAATTGTTTTACTATCGATATAAATGGCAATAAATTGACAGTATCAGTAGATCACTTAAAGCCTGCATACATACTAGTAGACTCTTGAGAAGAAAATCATATAAGTAACAACAAAAAGTCTGAACCTGATTCTATGGTAAACCAAACATTCCCAACTTTCACTAAGTCAGGCAGATGTGTAAAAATTGTTCAACCTTGCCAATCTTCTTAGATCATCCTCTGGACTGGGACCACTGGGGTAACAATTAGATTCATTGCGTAGTAACAAGTTGCCATAGTGACGATAAGCTCATAAACTTTGGAACTACAATTAATGTATCTTTGACTTTTGAGTTTGTATCAGCATAAGTTTCTTTCATGTACTTAGATATTCTTAACTGGTAACTAAGTAACTAAAATAAATATTTAAATACTAATGGAGTTATATTTTGAATACTTATCTCTACCTCCTAAATACTCAAGCCAAGATTCATGCAAAATAGAGGCAACTGTGTAATTATAAGCTTACTATCACAGAGAACTTTTTCGTACTATCACAGACCTTTCTTTTGTGAGAAAGAATCATTATCAAAGTGGAGTTCCAATCTTCCCTGTCACTTATTATGAAAATCTTGCTTGCTTTTACGCAGTATTGAATTTTTAGCATTTCCTAGAACCAGAGTATTGAAATTCGTTTGATGTGTAGATTGTGACCAGACAATGCTGATAGTAAAACAATTTTCAGCAAGTAAAGCTAATGTAAAAGCATTTAGGGTAAAATGCAAATTAAGAAAAAGAAAGCATTCTGCATATTAAAAATATAACATATTTAGATTTTTTTTTTTTTTTTTTTTTTTTTTTTTTGTATTTCTATTAATAGTTAAACTGAAAATGTGTTATTATAACAATAATTTAATTATGTGTAAAACTTCATTCCCCCATACGTTCAATTCAAAGTCAAACTTTAACCAAAAAAACTTTCCTGCTGCGTTAGAAATTTTTAAGAGGTTCTATTATGTCATGTGAAATGTAAAAGAGTTTATGACTAAATAGTTTGAAGATGCAGATTTAAAATGTAACTATTAAAAATTATCTTTTGAATTAATTATTTTAGGGTTACCATGGATGTGAATGGTGAGGACAGTGCAAATGCTGGAAGGTGGGAAGTAGTTGAAGTAATTCAAGATCTAAATAGTAGTCGCAATCTTCATACAGACATAATTTGTGCAGATCAACTCAAGTAAGTTTATATTTCTCCGAAGAGTGTCTTGAATGTTAAGTATTGTTTCTTCTACAGTGACGTAATTTTGTTTTTCCCACTTTCAGTTCTTTGATTTTGATTTTTTTATCAGTATTGTATGCTAATGTGATCAAAACTGAGCCTGAAAAAAATTTCTGTGTCTTTACATTTTGTACTGTTATGTGCTTCCGTATTTTGTAAGTCTCGGGTATAAAAATGTATGTTAAATCCACGTTTTTATCATTTTCTGTTGTCTGCAATATGTTACTTTTTCATTTTGAAGCATGTAGTGTTAATTTAATAAGTGCATTTACTCAAAAATAAGACACTCTACATTTTTGTTTTCAAATATGGTAGGATCTCATGACAGATATTTTAATTAATGAAATTGCAGAACAAGATTAAAGAGTTCAATTGCAATACAATATAGAATAATTACACCATTTAAATACTAAATAAGCCACATTGGTTATTACCATATGTATAAACTCCATAACTACTATTAATTATCATAGCCACATCTAGTACAGCAGTTTCAGTTTAAATATGTATCCATTGTACTGGTTACTGGTATGTCTAAAAACAAATAAGTAATAATGCATTAGGAATTTTTTCTAATTTTCCTTCCTAAACACATACTAAAATACTGTGTATATATAGTAAAAAAAATGTATTTAATTAACTCTAGTCTCTCGGTCTAATGCTCTCATCAAATAACTTTTTTTTTAAATTTCTTAAAATTTATTCTAAATTATAAAATTTATCCTAAATTATTAGAAAAATCTTATATTCAGAGTATCTTGTTTTTGAGTAAATGCGGGATTGAATACTGGGGGGGGGATAACTCAAATATATTTTTCCCCTTCTTCAATCTTAGTAATAAAAATCTTGAATTGAAAGCTTAGTTAAAATTGTTAGGGAACTAAAATCACTTTTAATTTCAGGAGAAGCTATTCTTTTAAAATTAGTTCATATTCCAAAAATTTGGTTAATGACATTTTGTCTTCATGCAAACATTATCTCTGTAATTGCTAAATAATAATAATTAGTAACAAAATTATCTTTCTAATTATGTAAATGATACTGATCAATTTAGTGACTCCTTTGTTTTTCGTAGTGTAAATGTTGATAATGAAATCAGTATATGATTGCATTATCCATTGGGTTCTGTATTTTTATAACAGAACTTTCCTTTGATGCTCTCTTTTTTTTTTTTTTTTTTTTTTTTTTTTTTCAGAGATAGTGTAGTGTAGTTGTTTGTCTCAATTTTGACATATACTATCCATCTCTCTTGCTTATGTGATCTTTTTAGTGCTCTTAGTTATCTAAAGCTAAAACTGAGATATCACTATCAAGGTTAAAGGATATCACTATCAAGATTAATTATCAAGATTAAAGGATTGATATTAATCTTGATATCACTTTCAAGATTATGATCACTTTAAGATACACTTGTGAGTGAAATTATTAAAGTGATATAATATTAAAGTGATCTAATATCACTATCAGGATTATATTGTATATTTGTATATAGCTTTTATTTCATTAATCAAAAACATTTTATTTAATCAAGTTTAAGCTGATTATTGCCATTGCTTATCAAGATTTGCTTTGAAATTACTTAGAATGCCATGTTATTGCTTCGGATTATTGATTGGACTGATGCTTATCGACTGTGCTTTTTTTATTGCCTTTTAGGACTTTTTAGTTTGCTTACTCGATCGGACAATATAGGAGCTGTTTATGGACTTTATTTTCGCTCTTCTTCGATAGAAAAGCCTCTCACAGACCATATGCCTTATGTTACTTTCATTTTCTGCTTATCGTACCTTTTTCTGACTCCACTGAAGATTGTATGCATCTGCAGATATGATTTTCGCCTTTTGGTGAGGTGTTTAGGCGCCATTTATATTTTTAACAACACTGACTGGCCAAAGGCAATTGTTGGAACGACGGGACCAAAACTCTATGTAGTCAATGCCCGATTGTGATAGTAAAAGATTAGATTAGAGTATCAAGATTAAAAGAATGTATTCTTTCACATAAAAGTACAAAAATATATAGCTCTTAGTAAAAATCGTGTTTAATTTTAAAGCACTTATTTTCCAGAGTAGATGATCCTGTACATTTCAGTGAGGTAAACCTCATTTTTAAAACTTTTTCAAAAACAGTTATTGTCTTGAAATAAGATACACTACTTAGACAGACTACTTAAAAGCAAGATTATAAGAAGTCTTGCTTCATAATGGAAATAAATTACCATTTCTTAGGTTTATGTTGTTAATAAAAGAACAATAAATAATAAATAAATAATAATAAAAGTTACTAAAAGAAGTACATGAAAGTATGGTGAATTTTCTAAAATATGACTATCATTATTCCAGATGATTTCAGTCATCGGTTGAGTATTTTTTTAAAGGGGGATGTTTAATACAAATGTTTGTGTTTTCATTGTGTGAAAATTTTGCCAAGCAGTGTAAATTATACAAAACACTCATTACATATCTGTACAGATCTGAATGTAGTAACCCTAATCCTTAGCGTATGCTCTGAATGCACAAGAATGCTCTTGCCTTTGCTATTGATTAATGGAGACAAATGGGAACATTCTATTAATAAAATTATGTTGTAAGAAAGAGCCATTACTTCAGGAATTAAAAATAAGATGAATACTAATTCAGAAGTCAAACAACAAAAATCAGCGTTTTATTTCAAATTTTCACAGGACTAGTTTCGATGGTTTTACCAAACCACCATCATCAGCTGCCAAAGTGCAAATGATATTCTGAATTAGTATTTGTTCTTCTCAATTTGTATTTGTATACTTCTGAATTAGTATATGTCCTTCTGAATTTGTATTCTTCTGAATCAGTATTTGTTCGGTGTGTTATTGTGTCTTAATTAATAAATTGAAATTAAAGGAAGGTAACCACAGAAGAAATTCCAAAGTCTGTCATGATTGCCCCCACAACAAATGTCCATGTTTGAGTCCACTTAAATATATATATATGGCACAAGAAAATAATTTTCATTATTGTCACTTTATACAAAGCAAATTCTTCTTTTAAAATTTTATCACATTTCATTATATGTAAAATAATGATATTTTATTTTAAAGGGGAAGAAAGAGGTTTATTACTAAAAAATAATACATTTAGGAAAATAATGTATAGCAGTCTGGAATCAGAACTTAAAACTCTTTATTAAAAAATAATTTTTTTTTTTTTTTTTCCTTCTAAATGGATACAATTTATGACTAAATAGTCAATAAAAGTATTATCTCACTATGTATTGATTCGTGTTTAAAATTGATTTATTTCAGTTCACAAGATAAAGTTAACGCAGATGATCCCCCTGCCATAACTGATGGTAAGATATTCTGTTATGATTAAATAAGAAATTAAGAAGGAAAATTGATAAGCAAAATAGTTTTTGGAGAATTCTGTTTGTATCTGTTATTTATGTGCATCATTTACTATGCTTCCTCAGACTTACACATTATGTGCTTATGCTGACAACTGTTATGCATCATAAAACAAATGTAGTTTTTTGTGTTTTTTAAGTATACTGATGGATATTATTTTTTTTCCACTTTTGCATTGTAAGAGCAGATGTGGTTTCATAATTTTTAATGATAATCTTTGTCTTAAGTAATATAATCCAAGAATAGAAGATATAGCATTTAAAATTATGATTTCTTGTATTACAATAGCGTCCATTAATATCTTCCCAATATCTCTAAGCAAACGTGCATAATTCCTAAAATATATCTGAAATATAAAGCTATTTGGTCAACATACTGTGAGAAAAACAGTTTCTGTATGAATTCCTAAGTCTTTCTTGTGTGCTTTTTGGGAACTTGGTGGTTTTGAAGGCTAAGCATTAGATACTGAGAAATCTAATTTTTTGTTGAAGTTTGAGTTGTTTATGTATCTTAGTCACAAATTATTATGCAATAAAATTAAATATACAGTTTATTTGATAAATATTAATGTGCATTTATATAATTATGAAAAATGTTTATGCTCTTACAAAGATTCTGGCTGTAATGGGTAGGTAATTTTTACTTTCTACTTTGTGTTAAGGAATTACTATCGAAAATGCCAAGTTTGAATCTCTTGGCTGTTAAATACCAGTGAGCAAAAGTAAATGATCAAAGATAGTTATGCTGATGTCTGGATTGATATCTATATATATAATATCAACTCTAATGGTTATGCTAGCATCACAATCAGTATGTAAGTCCAACTTATACTCTTGTGCTGACTTTACATTTTATGTTATATGAGCTATGTCAGGTTTTTAGTACGTTGCTTATTGAAGCTCTAATCACATGTGTATTGATTCTCTCGTGTATTTTTATAAAAGAAAACTATTGTGATAAATATACTTACCATGTTGTTTTTGAAGATGTGAAAAGGTCTTCAAAAATACAAAATTATAGTGAAGGAAGGGCAATATTTATTTGCTTTGAAATTTTCAAAAAATCATGGGTTGTGTTCTGTGTGCAGTTTTGACTTTTAAGTTGTTCAAGGCAGCTAATAATAACTTTAAGCAAGATGTGCAGGGTAAAAAACATGGGGACTATATGAAAATAAAATTCATTTCAAAGATAATATCATTATTTTTCGTAAAAAAGTGATGACAACTCTGTTGAATGCTGGGCTTTTATTCTCATCATTTTTCTAATTGCATGTTCCATACAGGTTCTTTGTTTCAGTTAATGTTGCTCTATTCTTTCGCAGCTAAAAAAAAAATTGGTGTGTGCAAAGGTGCTGCTCTGTTAAATCCATGGAGCATTCTATGTAAAAGGAAACTACAAGTATTATAAAATGTGTCTGTTTGTATTAGCTACTGATGGTTGTTCAGATTATGATATAAACTTTGTAAAATTGTATATTCTTGTTGTTTCATGATAAATTCACAGAAAAGAATTTTCAATAGATTGAAGAATGATTTTACTCAGAAATGTGTACCATGAAGAAATTCATGAAGAAAGATGCTGCTTTCATTAGAAAAGTTTAGCCTTCCATGATTCTAAAAGGATATTCTTGTATTTTTTTCACATAGCTGCTTAAAATGGCTGAAGCCAGTTCATAGACTTAAATATTGAACAAGTTTCGATTCAGTTTCTTTGCTTCTTCAGAAAAGCTCAAAGCTTTGAAACGTAAAAATTCTTTAAAATTATCCTGTGAAACTAAATGTCATAAAATTTTGAAACAGGAACACTTGCTGATTATCCTTTTAAATTCTGTTAACAGAATAATTGAACAGCGTGAACCTTAAGAGCATTTCTTTTCAAAAAATCTGTTATGTGCACCGTACAGAATATTAAATTATGCTAATTTTTTCTTGTATTTCATTTAAACTTATTGCTTTGAATTTCATTACAGATATGATATATTTGTCATTCAATTAATTCAGTTCTCACTTTGCGGCAAGGCAAAAGATATACTTAAAAACTCAAAATATTTTCATTAAAAGTAAAAAGATATAGAAAAACATAAAACACCAAATAACGCTAAAACCATTTAAAAAAAAAAAAAGAAAACCGATTTTTGCAATTAAAATTACAGTTTCTATGCAAAAACAAGCAATTTGACCAGCAGGCAAAAAGGCAGATTTTTCGGTGCACAAAACTTAAAGTTTCCTTTTGGTCCTACTCAGCAAAAGACACTGAAAGTGCGGAAAGGCTTAATTCACTATTCTGCTAAGTTTCAAATGTAAATAAATATGGCTGCTATGGGTTAAAAAAAAAAAATTAGGCTTAGCCACACTTTTAAATTGTTGATAATTCTACAAATATTGCATGCAAATTAACTAAAGGCGTAAACACCTTAACTCGAAGATAAGCATAAAATAATTCAATCAAAAGGCACAATTTACCAACATATAAGGGGGGACTGAGCTCACCTAGTCGAGTAACAGAGTGGCTGTATATATATATATATATATACACAAGATAGTTAAAATTAAAACACCCCTACTTTGAGCTCTGTATACATCGAACTACTGAGTGTAAAGGCTCCAAAACTGTTAACCATACTATTCAAGACATGGGGAAACGGATTACGTGGAAAAAAATTAGTTCCAGAAACATTGATAGCTGGTGCTGCACAACAGAACATATGCTGGAAAGACACAAAATACACTTTATAGCACATTTTATTCGAACGTACCAAACATTCATATCACAAAGACCTTACAGTCAAAAGTCGTTAATCCGGACTCGTCGGGACTTCGGCGATTCCGGATTATAGATCATCACTTTAAATCTCGTAAGATGGCATGCAGAAATTCTAAAATTAAAAATATGAAACCGTAATTTATGAAATAAAGAACAATTATGATCTAAAGGGTATCAAAATTTACAAAAAAAAAAAAAAAAAAAAAAAAAAGAGCTTAATATTTCTTTGTTTACTTTATAAAACATTTCTTTCAATGTAAGTTGTTTAAGTTGCTCTTCGTTTTATGTGATAATACTTTCTCTTTAATTCTATAAACAGACATAATTTCTTGTTCAGTTACAAAGTTCCGCTGTTCAAGTCCCATAATTGCTGTGTTGAGAATACCGACTAACTCGTCAATCGAAATTTTTTCGTTTTCACTAATCTCTCTGTCGCCTTTTTCATGTCTTTAACCATTTTTTGCAGCCATTCCACTTTTTGTTTGACGGACATCGAAACATACTTTCGTTTTGTAGATCCTTTGGGAGCTCCAGAATCGGAAATTCTATTTGACATAATCGAAAGTTCAAGTTTACTTTTATAAAATTGCTCTTACAGTCTGCAAAAAATAATAAGCCGCATCCAATTAGAAGATTAAGGAACAACGCAATCATCAACATTAACTGAAATAGATAATTAGATAATTTTAGCTTATACCGTCCATTATACATTAAACGCGCATGCGAAAACGTATTCTGCGCTTGCGTACACGCATATGCGCAGTTGTAAAGGTCTTCGCGCACGCGTAAACGCCTATGCGCATGCGCAGAAAGTTTTTAGCTTTGAGGTCCGGATTATAGATCATTCCGGATTATGGGTGTCCGAATTAACGACTTTTGACTTTATTGATGCAAGGGAAGCTTCTGAATATTGTTTCCTTCTTCAAGATGTAAAATCTGCAGCCTGTGGACAGCTTGTTCAACTGTGGATCGTAATTGGTCGATTAAGATGTTTCTCACATGCAGAGTGATACTCTCTTTCAAATTTGCCAAAGTTACCTGACATTGTCAATAAAAAAGGTTTTTTAAGTAACCCCAACCCGCAACCAAAAATCACATGGATTAAGATCTGGAGAACGAGAGGGCCAGAGAGCAAAATTTGCAGTTACAATAACAGTTTAAGTTTCTTAACTTTTTTTTTTTTCCCATATCAGCAATAGAAATTTAAAAGGAATATTTCCATACCTCGGGTTTTTTTTTTTTTTTTTTTTTTTTTTAAATTTTATTATTATTATTATTATTATTTGTGCTTTTTCAGGATATTTTCCGTTGCACAGCACCACCTATCAGTGTTTCTGGAACTAAGTGTTTTTTTTTTTTTTTTTCCATAATTAACTTTCTGCAGTTTCATGATCTTCTTCCTAGACCAGTACTTTCAAGAACATTCTGACATGTTACATAATAACTACTATAAATGAAGAGTTCGTGCCATTTTTCATCAGATTGCTTTTCTCCTCGTGCCGCTTAAGACCTTTTTGTTGCCACTCTGTCCCTTTGTTACAATAGTTATAATGTCGAAAAATTAACTTCAATCTTATTTTAATTTAAATCATTACTGGATATGTAGTTATGGAGAATCTAGATCTGCTATTTTAAGTGAATAAAGTTATGGAGTTTTAAAAAAATTGAAATTCTCCTGTGTCTCCAATTCGGCTGTTCTCTTCTACGTAACGACTACACCCGGACCCTGATGTGACCAAATTGCTAAGCTTCATCATTTCCAATGCCGATCTACCACAAATACCGCATATATATATACTTTGGTGCAACCTATTGCTACCAAAATAGGACGTGCACAACTGCATGTTATAGCAGTCCTATGTACATAATTTCAATGTTCTGAGGCTATTCGTTTTTGGGTTATATGAGATACATACATATGTACAGGCACCACGAAGAAAGTCTCTTCTGAGTCCATTTTAAATCAGTTTTGTAATTCATTTGGGGAAAAAGAGTCCTTCATTCTGTCCTTAGATAAAAATGTCATGCAAAAACATCGTTAAATTGCATTCGATAGCGATCAAAATGGATATTTTCGTTCAAATATGACACCTGGAATTTTCCGTGATTTCAGTACATGCTTTACTTCTTACAAGGAAGTAAAAATGCTGATTTTTTCAATTTGCAGGTTTTAAAATGAAGTCACAGATAGAAAACTTACATGTAAACTTAACTGTGTGTTTGCAGTAGACATTACTATGTAGTACATTTCCATTTTTTGTTACCACTAATGTGTTTCTTCTGCAAGAAGCTTCAGAGAGAATATCTTCATCAGTAACTCCTGCGAAAACCATAAGATCATCATCTGCTGTTAAATAGTCTTCTATACTAATTCCAAACTTTTTACCGCTTGTTTCCTCTTTTTACCGCTCCTTGATGTGCAAAACACATTCTTGATCATCTGAGAGATCATTGTCTATGGAATTTTCATCATTATCAGATTTCTTATCTTCCATAACACAAAGACCGGCCTTTTTCCAGCAATTCCGAATGGTTTTTTTTCTGTTACTTCCCACCAACTTCCAGTAATATTGTCACCACACACGCTTCCTTGACATTTACAGCTTTGAAAGGGTCTTTCTACTTTATTTTCAAGTTTACAAGTATGAAGTCCACCAACCGTTTTCTGTAATATCCTTTGAAGCACTTAATTATGTGCCCATATCAAGAGGCTGTAAAATTGAAGTGCAATTGGCAGGGGAAAAAGCGATTTCGATATTTTTGTAGCTTTGGAAATGACGTGTGAGCACCGCAGTTATCTATCAACAAAACGATTTTTTTTCTTTCTCTTCTTCATTTCATTGTCTAACTTCTGTAACCATTCGGAAAAAAATTTAGACGTCATCCAAGCCTTCCTTTTGGGCTTTATACTCCACGGGAAGACTTTTCACGTTCTTAAAGCACCTTGGCTTCAATGATTTACCAATGACAAGAGGTTGTATTCTATGCGTTCCTGTGCTATTTGTACACAGAAGAACAGTCAGTCTCTGCTTTGATTTCTTCCCTCCATAACACTTTTTCACCCTTGAATGCCAATGTTCGATCGGGTAGGAGTTGGGGAAAAACAGCCCAGCTTCATCTGCATTATAAATGTCTTCTGGAGCATACTTTTCTAAGATTTCTTTCATCTTGTTTTGCCGCCATTCATTTGCCTCATTTATCGGGGCTGACTTTTTCTCTCTGTGAACTTCTTGGAAAGTTATTCCATGACGATCTCGAAAACGCATTAACCAACCATTGCTAGCTTTGAAAGTTTCGTTCCCTAGCATTGCTGCAAATTTCCGTGCTTTTGCACATAATAAAGGTCCATTTGTTGCTCTCATCTCTTGAAACCATTTTAAAACAGCAGCATCAATGTTTTCATTTGTCGCAACTTTCAATCGTTTTCGCTCTGGGTTAATTTCATTTGAAGTTACAGCATCTTCGATTTGCTTTCTCTTCTTTAGGATTGTTGCAACCGTAGATTGTGATAATCCATGTTTCTTAGCCGCATCAATCTGCTTCATTCCCTCATCAATATCATTGATAACGTTTCATTTTATCTCGAAAAGATAGTTGCTTTCGCCCTGCCATCTTAGGGAACAATATCGCGTGAAGAAAGAAAAAGTTTAAAACCAAATGTTTCGCGTAGAACTCAGAATCGTTAAAGACTATAAAACAACCTTTGAACTCACTTTTCAGTACGTCACTTAACACACCCCGCCTCCATCTCTCCCTGTTCCTCTAACAAAGGGCACTTGTTCTGTGACAAGGTGACCAGACAGGTCTAGATGTCCTTAAACCTTATCAGAATTCCAAAGCTTACTGGGAAATGAGACTAGGCCATACATTTACACTTCACCCCCCCTCACCCACTCCAATTCCCCAAAGGGTGGTCTTCATCTTTTGAAATCTGAACAATAGCTATTTTATTCAGGGATAAGTTGAATATCCACAATGAGTCTTAATAGACGGAAAAAATACAAAAAAAAAAAAAAAAAAAAAAAGGAAAAAAAAGCATTTGAAAATCAAAATATTATTATAAAGGGAGAAATATAATACTGAAATTTAGATTGAAAAATCGTTTTACAGAGGTTTATTGTTCTAGAGAATATAGCAATATTGAGGGGAGATTAACATTAGTTTTATATGCAAAATCACCGGGACCACAAAACATTATTGTAGTAGAGGGAGTTATTGTTGTATCGGGTATCGTTGCAGCGAGAGTTTACTGTATTTAACAGTGTTAAAGTAATATATTTTTGTAATTCCAACTTTTTTTGGGGGGGAGCTATCTTTTATTATTTATGTGCTAGAGTGAAAAACTTTCCATTAGTAATATAGATATTTATATTGTATACAATTACTTTCAGACTTAATTTTGAAAGCACTGTATTTATGATATTTCGTGTAACTTTCAAAAACTGTGTGGAAGACATTATTATAATGTTTTAATCTCATATCCTTATTTATGTCTGATTAGAAGAGTTTCTGATTTTGACAGATGCCTTAATGTAGCATCAAAATTAAATTGCCTTGTTTTGAATAGAATGTTTCTATAATGTTGTTTATATATGTGAAAAATCTCTTTAATAGAAATTTAAAAAATTATTATTAGGAGATTTATTTATTTTGACCTGGTTGTTAACCCTTCGCATACAGCGCCTGCGATTTCCACGGGATACGAAATCTATCTCGTAATACAGGTGGCGTGAAAAAGTTTAGTTCTCTTACTTTCGATACAGATCACGCTTTTTCTCCGTGTAGATTCAGAATATTGTATTATTCATATTTCACGTTTCGTTTTGCACCTAGATAGTGCTACAGGTTTATATCATTGTAAGGGGTTACTATTCTTTCTTCACAGCCAAACACAATGGATGCTGTTGCTTCTTTCATTGTGGAATGGTAAGAAAATAGTAAACATGCTTAGTTCATGCTGTGTCTTCTGTATCAGTTTATTCAGGCATGGCAAAAGTAGAACAAAGCCAAAAGTGATTTATGATTATAACTTTACAATGGAGAGTGTCAACAGATGTGATCAGGAGGTGTCATACTACCCTAGTACCCGAAAACAACTTTGTAAATATTTAAAGAAAATATTTTTCCATATATTGGGTCCAGCAGTGTGGAATTTGTATATAATATACAGAAAAGTAACAAACACAGAAAATTCCCTTCTTGATTTTGAGCTAGCCGTGATCAAGGAAATCTTTGACAAGTATTCTTTTGCTATATGCATCAGTGTGGTGTAATGATGACAGTATGAACTTTATTCACCTTGTAAGGAGGCATTTTGCAAGCCACATATCACCAGATTGTATAAAAAAAAAAAAAAAAGGAACCTAGGAGGCAATGTGCTGTGTGTTGCTCCAAAAAAGACAACAATGGGAAAAAATTGCGTAAAGAAACTCACATTTGGTGTGAAAAATGTAAAGTTGAATAATTTTTATAGCTATGTTTCAAAGTTTATGATAATAATAAAAAAATTGTATAATAATAAGTGAGTACAGGTTATATATTTAGCTGTACAAATTAGTTAACATGTATATTTATCAAAATAAAAAAAGATCTTGTATATTTTTATTCCAAGCATGCTAAAATCGCGTGAGCCGTGTTATATGTTTATGTTTCAATGTTTACCACGCTAAAAAATTTTTGTATAATAGTGAGTGAGTACAAGTAATATTATTTGCTGTACGAATTAGTTAGCATGTATATTTGTCAAAATCAAAAAGCTCCTTTGTATTTTTATTCCTTGCATGCTAAAATCGCGCAAGCAATATTGTATATATTTAAAAAAACTATCAAAATTCCTGTATCATACTAATTTTGTTTATAAAGATGTGAATATATGAAGATATAGAAACTATATATATATATATATATATATATATTAAAAAAAAAAAGAAAAGAAAAAGCCCTGTATTTCAGGAGCAGAATGTATCAAAATCGAGCTGTATGCAGATGGTTAAGCTGATTTTGCATCTACAAATGATCTTTCTTAATATTTAATTGTAAGGCATAAATGTCAATTACTGATTTTTTTCCATCAGCAACAGTAACATACCGAGTTGTGCAGTTAGCTTCTGATACATCTCGTGATGATGCTCCTGCTGCACAGATAGTTACTACATCTGCAGCTCTAGTTGGTGGGCAGCAAGTTACACAAGCAATAATTGCAAACCAGTTTGCAGCAAATGGGAGTGCCAGTCCGGGAACAGATGGTAAGAAAACATTGTATGCTCTTCATTTAAAATATTGAAAATTTTGTGTATTTTAAACAATAAAGCATTAAATTTATAATTGTAATATTTATATTGAATCAGGTATAAAAGCTAAATCATATTTTTGTCTTACATAAGTGTGACCTCTCCATAGAGTCTCATAAATAAATAAAGATAGGTGGAGCTAATGAAAAATAAATGCCAAAAATAATATGAGTGATCACCAACAAAATTGCTATTCTGTAGTCTTGAAACAATGTCCAAAATGAGTTGGTTTAAAAGCCACATTTTGTAGGAAGATTAAACAAGACGGAGGACGAAGGATTCTGCGAAAAAACAAATTAGTTCCAAAAGTAACCGCTAGGGGAATATTTGGCACTGTGTAATAGAAATAGAGTGTTAACAAATGCAAATTAATACGGAATAAAATTACCTTTTATTATGCACATTTTCTGATTTAGTTCAAGTGCAATATGGCAACACTTTTTAAAAAGCGTAAAATCTACATAAGCACCAATAAAATCTCGTGATCTGCAATATCATGTATGCTGAGCAGAAGAAGTTTTTTATTCAAATTTCACGTTACATCCATTCGCACAGTGCCAGCTGCTTGGGTTTTAAAAGGCAATGTGTTACGTTTCGAATCAATCGGATTGAAAGTTTATGTGCAATGTCTCCTTCTTTAGTCGAGCATGCGTTACTGGTCAAATTCTTTTACCTCAACCAGTGCAACGCGTCAGCCGCTCTTCGTGCTTTTAGAACGCACAAAAAAAAAAAAAAAAAAAATGCGTAAAGGTAACGGTCCTGTGTCAGTTAATGGGCTAAAAGCAATGGTTGCGACGTTTGAGAAAACAGGTTCTCTGAAGGTTCAGTCAGGCAGAGGACGAAAACCTGTACCACAGGATACAATCGAAGCAGTTGCCACGGCGATTGTCGACAGAGGACCAGACAATATTGCTGCCACCTCTAGCACTCGTGGAGTAGCTCGGAATATGGATATGCCTTACAGTACGGTATGGAAAATCTTACGAAAGATTATCAACTTCTATCCGTACAAGATCAGCCGTGTACAGGAGTTACTGTACCCCGACCATGATAAGCGATTGACTTTTGCTCTCACCTTTCTTGCCAGAATGGAGGTGGATGATGCTTGGCCGTGGAAAATCTTATGGGGAGACGAGGCCCACTTTTACCTGAATGGAACTGTGAATACCCAGAACTGCCGAATTTGGGATGACAAATCACCACATGCAGTCACAGCAATTCCCTTACATTCACCAAAGGTAACTGTTTGGTGTGGGTTCACAGCGGAATTTATCGTAGGTCCATTCTTCTATGAGAACATTACCCCGACAGGACCGGAAACCTGTTCTGTTACCGGAGAGAAATATCGCCACATGTTGAACAGCTTTGTCATTCCGGCACTTCAGCAAAGACAATGCCTGGGGGAAATCATTTTTCATGCAAGATGGAGCCCCTCACACACGTTGCTGTACGGGTTGCAACAGATGATGCTACGACAGAAATTCACAACAGAAAGAGTCATTAGCCTGTTACTTTCCAACTGCATGGCCACCTCGGTCACCTGATTTTACCCCATGTGACTTCTGGCTATGGGGTTACCTTAAGTCGAAGGTCTATCAAGGAGTGGTCCAGGACCTGGCTACGTTGAAGGATAACATATCACGGACTGTACGGGAGATTCCTGCAAACATGTTACTTTCTGCTGTTGTGCATACTGTGCACAGAATGCAATATGTGGTCCACAACAACAGCAACCACATTGAACCTCATTTGAATACAAAATAAAAGGTAATTTCCGTATTGATTTGCATTTGTTAACATTCTATTTTCTTACACCTACACATAAAAGCTTCTTCAAGTAACACAGCACCAAATATTCCCCTACGGTGACTTTTGGAACTAATTTGTTTTTTGCGGAATGCTTTGTCCCCCGTCTTGTTTAATCTTCCTGCAAAATGTGGCGTCATTCTCGCAAATAGATTGCACTACAGAACACTGTGAGCACTGTCAGTTTAATTATGGCCACCTGGTATATATAATTATAAATTTTAATTTTTCATGTTCATGTCTTTTTCAAAATAATTATAAAATTCTTAGCAATAATTCAGAATTTTCAATGTAAATTCAAAAATATTGTTATAAGTTTTGTACATGTAATTATTTTAGTGAAAATGTTATATTTTTCTGTGTAATGTAACATGAAAATCTAAATAAACTATGCTATGCTGGAAAAGTAAGAATACATGGGGCAAGTCTATTTGAGTAAATGGCTCTCTTACTCAAGCTGGCAATGGTTTTCGCAACTAAATTTTGTCACCAAACTTGGCAACGTTTTTGTCTGCTCATTTTATAATGGGTATTGTAATTGAATAACTGTAATTAATTCTATATATAGCTGTAACCATGTCCAGCCTTCGTATGCCTTCCAGTAATTTTGAGAAGTACTAGTTTTCTTGGCAGCCAAATGAAATCGGTATACGATAGAGGAGAGCATCTGCTCTGAGTAGTAGTAATTAGTGTGGAGCTAAATTCTGAGTACTGATATACCAATGTTACCTCCGTTCTTTAGATGGGGTTTGTATTGTGTTGTACTTAACATTCTCAGTAATTTGAATTATAATTACTGATTGTGTTCTGTGATACTGTGAAGGGTTGTATAAGTATTTTTGTAAAAAGTTCCAGAACTGTGAAGTGTTATCATCAATTCTGGGTGCACCCCATATGCAGACAACAATATAATTAGTTATCTTAATAACCATTACTAAAAATAATTAAAATATTGTAAACTTTATTACTTAATTAATTAATGTAATTACAAAAATTGAATTTTGATACCATAAAATTTTAGTCTGATATTTTCATTAAAGAGTAACTTTTTTTTTTTAATTGAGTTTAGTAAGTATAAAATGTAAATGCGACTGTGAAAAAGCAGAAAGGAAATAACTTTCTAGCAGATTGCTGGAAGCATTTGGTGCATGTAGTATTTTTTTTTTTTTTTTTCACTTTTTATACATTAACTTGAATTTATCGCATAAGTGTTGATTCGAAGAAGTAGCTGAAGAAATTTTTCATTGGAAGTGTCAAGTGATGATTCGAAGAGCTGGCTGAAGAAATTCTTCATTGAAAGTGTCCATGCACTTGAGGAAGCCTGTCTAACTTTTTAATTGTAATAAGATGATTGGAGAAGTAGTGGTTAGAAATGAAATATTTATCAGCATATTTAGTTACTTGAAGAAGCTTTTATGTGTAGGTGCAATGTTGGACTTGGAGACATGGCTGTAGATTCAATATAAGCAAACCTAGATAAGCATAACAGGTTCACATGTCTTCATAATGGGGGCATTATATGCTCCACAATTCTGTACAGCTTACATCATTTTAGACAAAGGATGAAGGGGAGCAGCAAACTATGTGTGGCTAGCTGCAATAAGGCAAAGTAGGAAAAAAATTTGGTTAGTGATTGGATAAAAAATATTCACAATGCTATAATGCTGATTAATTTTCAGGTGATGCACTTTGAACTCTTATATTAGTAGTTTTAAGACAGGAAGGGATCATAGCAAAATTAAAATAAGGAATTAAGGCAAATGGTGTGTAAAATTTAGCATACAGTTATATTTCTTGCTGCACTGATTATTATTATCTAACATTCAATTTGAAAAACTTGCAAATGAGGAATTTTGATTGCTTATAAAACTCAAAATTTAGGAGTTTACTCCCCCTTTTTAATTTTTTGTAAAGCAGTACAATTAATTTAATTTAAGTATTGTATAAATATTATCTTCTTTTATCATTTGTGTTAAACTTTGTAAACTTTCTCTTTGTACAAGATGGGCTACTTAACCCTCTCGCTGTGCATCCCACGATTTCCACGGGCAGTGTAAAAGTAGCAAAAAATTTGCACAACCCGCGATTTCCACAGAGATGAATTTTTGTCAACTATTTAACTGTGCAACTCGCTCTTTTCCCGTTCAAGGTTTCCTTTCAGCTTTTCTGTGATGTTTAATTGTTTATTTATATGTAGGCTAATAGATGGCATTAGTTGTCCACATTTCTGCCAAATATATACAAGAATATGTAATGTAGCATTTTGCGCACGCTTTTCAGAACTCAAAGATTGTGGAAGCGTTTCACGAATGATATAACCTATATTCCTGACGATATTTCCGACACTGATAGTAGTTCTGACTCTGATTTCAAGTATATTGAAGATAGTTATAACGAAACTGATGAGAATTTCTCGGATTCCTTTGCAGATAGTGATGAATCTGAAAATTCAGTTTCTATTGAAAACGTTCGACAGCGGTGCACAATTGATATGCAAAATATTACATTATGCAAATATTTTCTTCAGCACATATGTTTTACCTTTGTATTTTGTAAAATAAATCATAATTTAACCAATATTAATTTTCAAAATTTTCCTTTTATATCATTATTCTTCAATTTCAGTATTCTGACAACCTTTTTCTATAATCTAATTATATATTGAAAAAAAAAAAACTCCTTTACAAAAATCTTTTGTATATTTTAACTCTAAAATATATGTAGATTTGAAATATGTAATAAAAAATATACGCAATTTTTGAATCTATTTTGATCAAAAAAGTACACAGCAAGAGGGTTAAACATTTTATGCATTGCTCACAAGTCAAAGATTATTGAATATTCTTGAAAAACATCAGAAGTGTGTTTTAGAGATTTCAAATTTATACATTAATAGAAATGAACTGCAAAAATTTCTTTAACAATAATTTATTTATTTATTATTGTTAGGTGCAGTATTTTGAATTATGAAAAGGCTGGCATTGTCTATGCTATACAAGTAGTCACGACCATAGACCTGTTATATACTAGACCGAGCATCGCCATTCAAAACCGGCTGAAAAAGGCGGCACAGGAATGAGCTGCAAGAGTTTGGGCATGAAATGGAACTGAACCCAGACTTTAGCGTACTATTGCCACAGCTGGCGATTTTTTTCCCCCTTCCTTTCTCTCAGTCCGAAATGTGAACTTAGAAAGATGTCACTTCGCAGAAGCTGCCGTTGAATTTGCAGAAGAGGTTAGATCGATAAACAAAAGCCAAAATTAATAATTTCCCTAAAATTGGACACTTTGTTTTAAAATTTAACAGGATAATTTTCATGCTGTAGAATAACATTTTGTAATATAATGTCCATCGGCATCTACAAAATTAAAAGTAAAATAAAAAAAAAACTGGAGAGAACAAACTAATAATAATCTGAAATTAAAAATACAAAAATGTCAGTGATAGATTCAAATGCAGAATGATTCTTGATGAAGGTTTTTTAATACTTAGGATAGAATAAAAAATAAAAAAATAGATAACATAAGAAAAATGAGTGAAAACAGAAAATAATACAAAAAGAAAATTTAATATTAATACAAAAAGGAAATTTAATGTTAATATGGTGTATTACAGAGAACTACAGAGTAGGCAAATTAAAGTGAGAAAGATATTAAATTAAATGAACTAAGAATGAATGTCAATATAGCAGATATAAGTTAAAAGGAAAAGAGAGAGGTAAATTAATAAATTATGAAACAAAAAAGTGGTAAATTAAGGCTTCTTTTTACTAGCAAAAATAAATATATTATGTACGTTGCACAATGTAGTCGCACTTATTTTAAAATGTTCATTAATTTTAAAAAGAAACTTAAAACTATTAAAGTTTTGAAATTTAACTGCTATATAATGACTATTTTCTTAATACTTCACAAATTCTTAATATTAAAATAAATGCCAGAAACATGATATAAGAAAGAAAATGCGTGATTAAAAGTAAACATATTTGTTATATTTGGATGCAAGAAAAGGGGATAAAATAAGGTCATTCATGTCAAAAAAAAATCTTAATTTTATGTAGTTCTTACTCAGTCTATTACATCGACATTACCAAGTATTAAATACATACAGTACTATTTCGTACATGCCCGTATAAGCAAACGCATACCAAGAATACATAAACAAACGCATTTAAAGCAAAGTTTGTTGGCATATAAAAAATGTCGCCAAAGCAGAATACTAATTAAAATTTTAACATTTTTTTCAGAACACAGTTATTAAAAAAATGCATATATATTAAGATACTTTTATTTAAATGTTATTTCAAGTATGCATATATTATATAAAATTAGAAAATCTATTTTTATTAGGAAACGGCAAGTAGAGTGGATTAAAAAACCTCTACATTTTATAAAAAATGGATTTTAAAACATCTGTGAATGAAAAAGCTCACCTGTAAAATGTTACTCCTCCACCTTTCACGTATCTGGAATTACATCCATATGCAGAGCAAGAAAGTACTTTTTGAAGTCCGAAACAGTGTGCGTACTCGCGAAACACTTGCTTCTCACAAATTCTCCATAGAACTGCAAGGGTACGGAAGACACGCGGGAAATACGATCTGGGAAATGTTCCATATGCCCACGTGGTTTGCATTCCAGTTTCCCCTCAGAGTTGCCGTTTCTCTCTCTAGTACATTACAGCTCTATGGTCACGACTTGAATATCTATCTATATATTTTTAATCAGAAGGGATTTAGATTTTATTTTTATCTTTGAGAATAGGAACATATATGCAACTAAATAGCAGAATGGATTGACAAGCATGTTTTGAGACATTTGAATAAATATCTGAGTGTAGTTATTTTTTAATGAAACATTAACAAATGTTGCTGTATGAAAGTTCTGCATGTTCATTCTGAATCTCTGTAAATTATATCTGCCACATATCAGAAGCATCATTGACATTGGTTCCAACTGAATTTGAAAACATTATATTTTCTTTCTTAGACACGCTTATAAATTCATTTCTGAAGTTTTCAGCTAATTTATGATATGATGAATTTTCAGCTACTTTATGATACAATTTACTTTCTTAAATAAGTTGTGTTTATTAAAAAGGAAGAAATGGCAACTTTATGCACAAGCAGCTTTTTCCAAAACAGTTGTTAACTTCTACATGAATACTTTGAAAGATGGTGCAGTACATGTACGAAAAATTCCTTTCTGTCAATTAAATTATTCAGTCAGAGTCTTTCATAATTTCTTTCAAGCAGTCTTTTTCATTTCTTTGCATATTTTTAGTTTGTTCTTTAGAAGGTCTTCATTTCTTGAATAGGTATCCAAAATCTGGCCAGTCTTATAGCTCTGCTGAAATAGTGAGCGTGGATTAAAATAAATACAGTCAAAAGTCGTTAATTCGGACACCCATAATGCGGAATGATCTATAATCCGGACATCAAAACTAAAAACTTTCTGCGCATGCGCCGCGTTGACACATGCGCATAGGCGTTTACGCGTGCGCATAAGACCTTTTACGACTGCGCATATCAGTGTGCGCAAGTGCAGAATACGTTTTCGCGTGTGCGTTTTATGTATAATGGACGTATAAGCTAAAATTATCTAATTATCTATTTCAGTTAATGTTGATGATTGCGTTGTTCCTTAATTTTCGAATTGGATCCGGCTTATTATTTTTTGCAGACTGTAAGAGCAATTTTATAAAAGTAAGCTTAAACTTTCGATTATATCAAATAGAATTTTCGATATATATTTGTTAATATGTAAAGGATCTAAAGCGAAAGTATGTTTTGAAATCCGAAATCTGTTTATCAATTTCACGCTGCTTGGCGGGGGGAACGCCGCGCCGTGGCGGGCGCGTAATGAATTGGAAGTTGATTTGTCAGCACTATCCTTATCTTCAGCGCAGATGTTTTTATTTGGCTTATAATTCTTTACCAAATGTAGTATTTCATCTCGATATGCTCCGTTCTTTGATATGATTTAAAACAAGTTCCTGGTCATTATAATTCGCTTCCCATAGCGAAAAAAAGTAAGAGAGGTTATTGAAAACAAAAAAATTTCGATTGACAAATTAGTCGGTGTTCTTGACACAGCAATTATAGGACTTGAACAGCGGAACTTTGTAACTGAACAAGAAATTATGTCTGTTTAATAGAATTAAAGAGAAAGTATTATCACAAATGAAACGAAGCAAAACTTAAACAACTTACATTAAAAGAAATGTTTAATAAAGTAAACAAATAAATATTAAGCTTTTTCTTTTTGCAAATTTTGATACCCTTTAGATCATAATTGTTCTTTATTTCATAAATTACGGTTTCATATTTTTAATTTTAGAATTTCTGCATGCCATCTTACGAGATTTAAACTGATGATCTATAATCCGGAAAAATCGATAATCCGGAATCGCCGAAGTCCCGACGAGTCCGGATTAACGACTTTTGACTGTATATAAATAAAATATTGTTATGTTAGTTCTTATGGGAAAAGATTTAATTTCCCATTGTTTGATTATTTGAATATCACACACACACCACACACACAAATAAATAAATAAATAAATAAATAAAAATAAAATAATAATAATAATAATAAAAAGTTTAAAAAAATGCAAGGGCTTATCTGCCAACAGGGAGTGATGTCTTTGTGGAAGACTTTCAAAGGGAAACTGGCCCATACTCACATTAGTCATATTGAATACTGTGAAAACCAATCATGCAGCTAGCCCATTCATCCAGGATCAAACCTGGGTCATGCACCGAGCATTCAGTAGTCTTGATTACTCGACCACAGGTTGTGCAATTTCCCATTGGACCTGATAAAATTGATTGAAGAAACAAAATTTTCTACTCTGTGTATATTTGTTTGCATACAATTGCTTTTCGCAAATAGCACACATTAATTAGATTCAATTTTTTTTTAAAGTGAAAAAATTTTTCATTTAGGATATATTATAATAAAAGTTTTCAGTATTGGACCAGATTTTTTTGGCTGTTTGACATAATTTTATTTAGCTATAGCAGCGAGAAAAAAAAAGCGTTGCTGATATTGATTTTGTGGTTTTCCCTCTTAATTTTAACGATTTTAATTTTCTGAAGTTTTATTTTTGTTTTTAAACCTTATAATGCATTCTATATTTTTAATAATAGGTGTATGGGATTTTAAAAACCTTTGGCAAAGTGAACTCTCATTTGCAGACCTTATTAGATAAATGTGACTTATAATATTATAGAGGGAAATTAACTGTAATTTTTTTTAATGGAAGGTATATAATTTAATATTCAATACAAAGTTTTTTTAAAAAAAGGGTCAGCAAAATAATCTTTTGCTGTTATGTGTTTTGGTACTTTCTGAGTATTGGCATACAGACTAAAAAGTTGTAAGTTCAATGGTGACTTTGGAGATCATTCATAAATATATTGCCAACTTTGAAGGTAAACATTTGTTTGGGTATCTTTTTCTGTTTCAGCAATGCATTCAGTGCCCCTTATTTTTTTTTATTCAATAAGAAAGTGAAACACCTTTTTTGAGAAATCCTTACGTAATTTTTTTGTGCTCGTGCAGTAATATGTTTACCCTTTGTATACAGTAATATGTTTTCGTTAAAGGAAAAGTCAGAAAATCCACAAACTCGGCACTGTGCACCTGCCACAATGATCATCCAAGAATAGTTTAAATTTTAACTTGGACTCCAATATAATAAAATTAAAAGACATTATGATTCCATTCCTCTACAGTTTCATTATGCAACAAATTCAAAAGCAAATACATTCAATGCAAAAAGAAATATTAATCGGAAAAAATTATCATTGAATTTCAAAAGTACAAATCTACGTGTGCTTTGTGCACCTGAGTTTCCTTATAAATAATTTTGGGCAATATGATGCATTTCATAATCAATACTTTTCTGTGGCACTTTGGCAAGTATGTGGATAATCAGAAAATACATATATTTTATTAGAAAAAAAATGTTTTTTTTTTTAAAGAAAACATGCACTTGCATGATTGTAGAAATGATTTTCCAATGCAAAAATTAGTCTCATCATTCACATTTGTAAACCTAAAAATAATATAATAATAAAACAATTGCAGGACCATTTTATGTGATGATGTCTCCTCAAGATGTGCTACAGACTGGACAGAGAACTCTTGCACCAAGGACACACCAGTTTAGTCCTAAATTGGAAGGTGGTCGAACTGCTAGAGATGAAAGGAGAAGAGCAACTCATAATGAAGGTATGGTTTGAGTATAAAGTATATAAATTAAACCTTATTTTTTTTTTACTTAAAAAAGACATAATTTAATACAAGTTAATATACACATGTTAATAAAGTTTAAAGGTGCATATTTTATTGGAAAATATAATTTTGTTATATAGTTCTTTGTTACGATTATCTTTTATTTATTTAGAGTTATTTGCTTTGTATTTAATTTCTTGATGAGTATTTTTAATATTTATTTTTTGTTTACCATTATGTTCCAAAATTGAGTATGTAAATTATTTCTGTGATGTTGAAAAATAGTTGAGATTAATTTATAGTTTTTCTAAGGATTCATGTCCTTAAAAATACTCAGGGGAATTTCATTATGTTTTTTTAAAGACAATAAGCAAAATATCTAAATTGGAGAAAAGTTTTGATTTAATTAATAGAAATGGCTGGAATTTCTGAATCGTATTATGAAAATTAAAAGTGTTTTTCTTTTCCTGTATGCAGTGGCATAACTAGAACTCTTGGACCCCTATGCAAAAAATTTTCCTGAGCCCCTCCCCCGAAAAATTTAATGTGCTTAAAATTAAAAATAAAAAAGTGAAAAAAATTTTAAAAAATTGAGGATTTCACGAGCCATTGTTTTCATGATTTTTTATCACATCCAGATTATTTGTTAAAAAATAAAAGCACATCCTTAGGGAACCAGTTAGCATTAAGAAAAGTAAGAAAGCATAGATTTGTGGAGATTTTTATATAAAATCCAAGAGGTTTTACATACAAATAGGTTTTGAATTTTTATATAAAATCTGCACCAATCTAAGTTTTTTTTTTCGCTTAATTTAACAAACTTAAATAACTGGTTATATTATAAACTGACAGACATGATAATATGTAAACATACAGAAAAGATATTACACTAATATATAGTACTCTGTGATTTACTCAGCTTACGAACAAGACTTATGCAATAATATAAAAGTAATAAATAAGAACTTTTATAATGTAAATGATGCATTTGTTAAATATAAAACATATTTACCATAACTTCATAAAAAAAACTATTTGAACATGCAGTTTTTGTAGAAAATATGTACGGTAAAGTTTTTTCTCCTGTCTCTTTAAAAAACTTTTTTGTACTACTTGAATACATGATATTTATAAAAATATGAATGCTAAAGTTTTTTACTGTTTCCTTTTAATTTTCCTCAGTCCGCACTGCTCTTCTCTAATGTCCCCCCCCCTCAATAATTGTAATTATAACACTGGTGGCCAAAATTCATCATAAAGACAAAAATCTTTTTTTCTTAAAATTTGCGCCTCCTAGAGAAAGACTAGACTAGATATGCCATTGATATGCTTTGTATAGAGAAACGCCATTAGAATAAGAGCAAGTTCAGTTTACTGTTCTGAGTCATCAGCCAATTACAAGTATACTGAAGATAGCATTTCACACTTCAATGCAGTTTAGCAAAGAAAGAGACCCAACCTCCACCATAAATTTCCAGTGTCTTTCCAAGTTGAGTCACAGTAAAACTTTCATCTAAGATTTTACTGTAAAGATGTCCACTTTCCTTTTTAAAATGCTGAAACATCTGGTTTTTTTTTTTTTTTTTTTTTTTTTTTTTTTTTTTTTTTTTTTTTTCCAGTCAAATTCTACTTTTATTATTGTCATATTCCAATGACACATAATACATGACCTACAATATCTTTTAGCATTTCCTCTGTACTATAAATGTATTTCAGTTAATGTATAATTATTAAATATTTAACAGTAAACATTATGGATATTCGAATAATTTTAGAAAATTCTTCCACAAGTTTAGGATGAAGTAATAAACAGGTAGAAACTTCAAAGCTCTTTGGATACAGGTCTCTAAAATTAGTACACATAAATACTTGTTTAGGAAACAAGTGTGAAGTTTCTTCATATTTAGTAAAAATAAAGTTGTATGAAACAACAGGGTTGTCACGCTACCTGGAAAACCGGAAAAAGTCAGGAAATTCGGAAATTGACCAAAAAATTCAGGGAATTTAAGTGTTTTAGTCAAAATCTGGAAAAGTCAGGGAATTTCATACAACGATCCCGCCAAAAAAGGCGAGTTTTGCGCCGACGTCAGAAGAGATCACTTTTTTGGCGAATTGTGTATCACGTGAGTGTCATTCGGGCAGCTGGCATAGAGCCAATTTTCGTAGCTCCAATTTGATTGTCTTTTTAGAAAGGCAAAGCAAGTTTCCCGCAACTTTTGGTTTCCAGTAACCTTGAGAATCGCATGTGCAGTGCATGAACTAAAGAAAGTACCTGTTCTCGTATAAAACAAAATGGGTTTAATCGTAGTATATGGTACCATGAAGGTTAGAATTAAAAAAATATGTATTGTAAAGAAGGAAAACCTCTCTGCAACAGACGTGGCTCGGTTCCATCATAGCGGGAAACAGCTGTGCATGCGCGATATATCTGTCGCCAAAGCTCGAAACCGGTGTCGAAGTTCAAAGGTCACGTTATCAAGAGTTCATAAAATGAATATCGTTTAAAATGTCTTTAAACTCTAAAGGAAAAGAAAATATTTTTTGGCGCAAGTAAATTAATTCATGGATTAGTTATTTTGACGGGGGGGGGGGGAATCTACGAAAATCCGTTTTTAAAATTATTGCGAAAGATCCAAGAAAAAACGTTTTTTGATAAAACGTTTCTACTTGGATTTTTTGCAATAATTTAAAAACGGATTTTCGTAGTTTTCTTTTTTGTCAAAGAACGTTTCTTCTTAACACGTGTTTCTCAATTTCCTGTACAAATCGCGGAGAGGGAAATTCTGGCCGTTCCGTCGTCAAATCCCTTGGCAAATTTTCCCTCCGCTTTTTACATAGACGTTCTTTTGGTCAGAATAATCTCCATGTATGGGGTACAGCGGGATTTGGCGACATGATGATGAGCAGTAAACAGGTCATTTTGTTCTTGGCCGTTTCAAAATCATGCGAAGGCCATATCGTATACTAGGATATTACAGCAAAATCTTTTTTTTTTTTTTTTTTTTTTCTTTTTAATAAATACCTTGTCATTTTGCAGTAAAATAAAAAAAATAGTAATCAATCATCTAGGTTAACCATATATAACTATATTCGCTAAAATATCGATTATTCTAATTAAATTTTAAGTAATTATTTATTTTATTTATGTTGTATTCATATCATTTAATGTTGCTTCTTCTCTAAATTTATTTATCATTAGTAAATAATATTTCCAAATTTCAGGAAATTTTCTCTGGCATAATCCTGAAATTAATTCTAGCAGTATGATGACATCACGAAATTTAATGCACATATTTTTTCCTTATGTATGCTGCGAAATAAATATAAAATACCTCAATTTAGTAAAAAAATATCATTAAATAGATTTCTTTCTTTCGTTTAGCTCCAGAATGTCTGCAAAAAAAGCCTTATTTTATTCCAGATTGGGCAGGTTCTAATTTCAATCTTCAGTGGAGTAAACAACTATTATAATTATATTTGTCTTTTCAAGTGTTAAGGTGCCTTTTAAGAATACACCTCACACAAATTAAATTTACCTAAAATCTAACCTAACTTTTAGCATTGTGTTGTGATTTATAAGAACCGGATTAGCCTCGTGTTGAACTGGAGATAATCATGAGTAATAATTAAATAAAACGTACAGTTTAATCCATTGTATATATCTTAAATTTTATTAAGTTTTTTAAGCAGAAAAGTAAACAAAATTATCAAACAAAGTGTAGCAAGAATAATTAAGAATAAATGTCCTCTGGGATTTATTGAATATGCTACACAGTACAAGTAATACCATAATGAATTTACCTCTTAGCACAGCCAACGTACATTACGCGGATAGACTGGAATTTTCTCGAAACATACCTGGAAAAGTCAGGGAATTTCCTTCTCCTCTTTGAGTGGCAACCCTGAAACAAGTTTTGCTCACTTCTTAGAGAAATGCGCAAAACATCATTTAATGAAAATAGGTTTATTTTTTACCCCAGGTGAATCAAAAAGCAAAAATCACAATATATTTTAGGAGCATTAATATATTTGATTATTGTTATCTTTTTTATTTACGTCTTAAAACAACTATTTCTGTTTCAGAAATTAATGACCTCAGATTTCCAGTTTTTACATTGCTTATAAATTAAGCCGTATAATTTTTATCTTAAACATTAATTTATTAATGACAAAAATATGAAAAATAGATATAATGTATGGGAACGTATATTAACGGAACTTATTTATCTATTAGAAAAGCTATGCAGTGGTGCCAAAATGAAAGAGAATAATGCTAAAAGAGATTTTATGAGTGAAAATCGCATCATTTACTAATAAAACGTTTTAACTAAATAACTAAATTTAATTGTGAAAATTATTGAAATATTTCAATAAAGGGGGAGAATTCTTTTCTGAAATATTCCATTCGTCTGTGCAGTGAAAATTGCAATCTAATCCGTGTTCTTTTAGATGTTGAAATGCAATTTAAAACTATTAGGTCAACGCTGCCATTGATATGCTTAATATTTTCAGTAATTAATTTATTGAAATTTACGAAGTAGTATACAGTCAAAAGTCGTTAATTCGGACACCCATAATCCGGAATGATCTATAATCCGGACCTCAAAGCTACAAACTTTCTGCGCATGCGTCGCGTTCACGCATGCGCACAGGCGTTTACGAGAGCGCATAAGACCCTTACAGCTGCGAACATGTTTGTGCGCATGCGCGTTTAATGTGTAAGAGTTATACGCTAAGCTAAAGTTATCTAATTCAGTTAATGTTGCAGATTGCGTTGTTCCTTAAGCTTCGAATTGGATCCGGCTTATTATTTTTTGCAGACTGTTAGAGCAATTTTATAAAAGTAAGCTTGAACTTTCCATTATGTCAAATAGAATTTCCGATATATATTTACTACAAAGCGAAAGTATGTTTTGAAATCCGAAATCTGTTTATCAATTTCACGCTGCTCTGCTGCAGAGGGGGGGGGGCAGAAACGTCATTATTAGATTATGATAGATTAGAAAGATTATGTCAAATAGAATTTCCGATATATACTTACTAATAGTAATTTGTATCTACAAAGCGAAAGTATGTTTTGAAATCCGAAATCTGTTTATCAATTTCACGCTGCGGATTGGGGTTGGAAGTTGATCTGTCAGCACTATCCTTACTTCAGAGCAGATGTTTTATTTAATTTGGTTTTAATTCCGTACTAAGTGTAGTATTTCATCGATATACTCCGTCTTGATTATTTAATCAATTCCTCGTCATTATAATTCATTTCCGATAGTGAAGAAAGTGACCCAGGTTATTGAAAACGAAACATTTCGATTGACAATTAGTCGGTATTCTCAACACAGCAATTATAGGACTTGAACAGCGGAACTTGTAACTAAACAGAAATTATGTCTGTTAATAGAATTAAGAGAAAGTATATCACATAAACGAAGCAACTTACATTGAAGAAATGTTTAATAAAGTACAACAAATAATATTAAGCTTTTTCTTTTTGTAAATTTTGATACCCTTTAGATCATAATTGTTCTTATTTTATAAATTAACTGTTTCATATTTTTAATTTGTAATTTCTGCATGCCATCTTACCAATTAAACTGATGATCTATAATCCGGAAAAATCGAATCCAGAATCGCCAAAGTCCCGACGAGTCCAGATTACGACTTTTGACTGAATACTTAGTTTTGTGATGTCATTTTATTATCATTATTATATTATTATGATGATTTCACTACTGATGCTGTGGAAAGTAAAAGTAGAATAAAAATTAAAATAAATTAAAAGCAAAAGTGTAAATTTTAAAGTTTCATTTCAAATAGCGAGTAGAAAGTACTCCAGGAAGGCATTCTTCCCCTTAGGCAAATATTCCTAAAGTGTTTTATTATTATATAGTAATTCAATTCAGTTCCATTTAAATAACATACAAATTATTGGGCATTACTTAATTCTACGATTAAATGTTTCACGTTGTTAAAACGAATTGCAATTTATTGTATTTTTTCAAACGAAGGGAAATTAAAATATTTCTTTCAAAACAAATTTAATATCATCAGAATTTTCTTTTACAGATTAGTGTGAATTTTTGGTAGATGGGTAATTTACTGGCTAAGAAACACCACAGCTGTTGTCTTTCCTAAAGCAAATCATGTAAATCCTCAAGCATTAAAATATGCTTAGTAAATAAGATATATTTTAGGAGTTATATGCCTTCAGATTTAATTCTCGTTTTGGAATTTTTAAAGAATTTTTAACCTGCACTTTATCTGCAATGGGAGAATATTTCGAAAATTTTGATATGAAAAATTGGATAAATAGTGATTTACTCACTATTTCAACTAAAATATTCATCCATTCCATTTCCTCTCCCCATGAGTGAAGAAATCATGAATTTTGATAAATTTTAATGAAAAAAAAATTAACTGGAATATTTGCCGCTTATTGTTTAAGAAACCAGAATGAAACTTTGTGTTCTTAGCCTGTCGCATAAAACTTGCCCCTTTTTTCTCTGACCTGGAATTCATTTAAAGATCCCTAAGAAACCGGAAATCTCTCTTTTCTAAATGTGGTGTTATAAATTCTTTGCGTTTTCTGGACGAGGACACCATTTCCACATGTGAGTGGGGCAAAGTCCTTTCACACCACGACTGCCCAACTTACGTCAATCATTTTATGTCCTTAAAAAAGGAAAGCAGAAATTCTGGAGTTAGCAATTGATATTTACGAATGATTTCCCACTCCAGATTATTAGTTTAAAAAAGAAGGGAAAAAATCAATCCGCTTTTAACTTGGCCATTTTGGAATGTTCCATACTTCTAAATCCCAAAATTTTCCGTCCCTATACCCTGCCTCCTGGTGCAACTGCATCGTCGTTTTTTACATTATGAGAACCATACATTCAAACATTCTAGGTAACATTGTTTCGTCACAGTGCGAGAAACATACATACATACATTAATGCAAATTCTTCCTTATTTAATTTCTATAAAAATAATACAGGGTGAAATTATTTGGTGGCAACAATTTGAAAAGTGATATGCCGTTTATAGTGAACCAATGCAATACATGTTAAAATAAATTGTAAAAATCATTCACATTAATAAATTCAATTTCAAGCTTAATATGAGTCCTGATTTTTAGACTTGAGTTTAATGGAAGTGCTAGTAACAGATTCAATATGTGAACAAAATTAAATGCTTGGGAATGACATATTATGAAAATTTCGAACTGCAAATAATATACCACGTTTCCTCTTAACTTGCAAAGGTCATTTGAAATTAAATACCAGAATCCTGCCTAGTTACTTCTTTATTTATACTTAAAAAAATGTGTCTATTAATTATTCGATCATAATAACAAATTATACAGAAATAAATTAATATACAAAATAATTCTATTATAATAAATAGTTACAATTAATTTCCACTTCAACTCCCTTTTGAGTTGGGATTGCAAAGGGAGAAACCTTTCCTTCCCTGAGTAGCCTTTAATAATTTTCAGGTAAGAGACTAAGAAATACAAAGGAACTTTTGCTATTTTCTGCTGATTCCTATGCCTGAACTTGGGTAGGTCACGAAGTTACAATTTCATTGTCGAATGATGGAATATTAACTTTTGCACACACTGAATGTGCATCCAAGGAATGTGTTTCATGTCCATCCAAGAGCCCCTTTTCTGCGTCATATACGGAACTGTGTCACTGCACCATATAGGAAGAGGGCCCTTAAAAATTTAAAAGAAGACGAATTCTTTTATATACAGTCAAAAGTCGTTAATCCGGACTCGTCGGGACTTCGGCGATTCCGGATTATAGATCATCAGTTTAAATCTCGTAAGATGGCATGCAGAAATTCTAAAATTAAAAATGTGAAACCGTAATTTATGAATAAAGAACAATTATGATCTAAAGGGGACAAAAAAAAAAAAAAAAAAAAAAAAAAAAAAGCTTAATATTATTTACTTTAAAAACATTTCTTTCAATGTAAGTTGTTTGGTTGCTCATTTTAATAATACTTCTCCTTTAAGTTATAAACAACATATTTCCGTGTTTTTTTGTTCGTGTTCAAAATACAAACAACTTGTCATCGAAATTTTTTTGTTTTCACTAACCTCACTGTCACCTTTCATGTCTTTATCCATTTTTTGCAGCAATTCCACTTTTAGTTTGATGGAATCGAAACATACTTTCATTTTGTAGATCCTTTGGGAGCTCCAGCATCGGAAATTCTATTTGACATAATCGAAAGTTCAAGTTTACTTTATAAAATTGCTCTTACAGTCTGCAAAAAATAATAAGCCGCATCCATTCGAAGATTAAGGAACAACGCAATATCAACATTACTGAAATAGATAATTAGATAATTTTAGCTTATACCGTCCGTTATACATAAAACGCACACGCGAAAACGTATTCTGCACTTGCGCACACGCATATGCGCAGTCGTAAAGGTCTTGCGCACACACGTAAACGCCTATGTGCATGTGTAAACGCGGCGCATGCGCAGAAAGTTTTTAGCTTTGAGGTCCGGATTATGGGTTTCCGAATTAATGACTTTTGACTATATACACTTAAAGATTCTAAAGTTAAAAGTAAATTGGCGTCAAAGCAAGGTTATTCCTGAGCTATATTAATATTAGTAATCGTGTAAAAGAGGTTTAACACAAAATCCAAACATATCAAAATTAAAATAAGAATTCATAGCAGTACAAACTCTAAAAATAGAAATGAAAAGTGAAAAGGGAAAAAATATCAAAATAATAATTAATCTCCTTTTACTGAAACTCCAATTCTGAAGTTTCATGGGAAGGAGGAAATTAATTAAAGCTTCTATATATATGTAATAGAATCCGTCTTTTAAGTTTAAACATGTAAATGTAGTTCAGCGGGGACATTTAAGGGCCCCCCTAAGCCTTCAAGCCCCTATGTGACGGCATTCCTTGCATACCCTTATTTATGCCACTGCCTGTATGGCTATTTTAATTGCACTTAACGGAACAAGAAAGCAATGCCTTATGCTCCATAGGGCTTAAATATTATTGTTCTATATTTTTGGAACATGCATCTTTAAAATATATTTTGCATTTATTTTTAGCTAGAATGGATGGATTATTTTTTTGTTCAAGCAATGCAAAAGATTTTGTGTAGTTTATCTGCATAGAATTTTTTAATATTGTATTGAGATTTAAAAATATAATTTTCAATTAATTTCTCTAGTGGTTTATTTCTTAAATATTTATTGTTTTATGTGCAGAAAAGCTTAAAATTTTGTTTGCTTGGGAACTGAAAATGAATTTTTTTTTAATGACTTTGGATTCCTAAAGTGTAAATTCAGGTACATGCCCATTATAAACATTATTCATTATTTTAATTTATGTGCAGCATTTTTTTTTAGTTTAGATTAATAATTCAATATTAACATTCTTGTCCATTTTCAGTAATTTCTATATTTTTATTCTTATTTTATTATTGCAGTTGAAAGGAGGAGAAGAGACAAGATAAATAATTGGATTGTTAAGCTTTCAAAAATAGTGCCAGACTGTACTTCAGATCATACAAAACAAGGACAGGTGAGAAGTGTGTTTTCGTAATAAAACTGAAATCTGAAGGTTATTATTTAAGTTGGTTAATAGGGGTGGGTAGGAAGAGAAGAAAAGTGAAATTTTCTGTAATATATAAAACTTCTTGGTAAAAATATATTCCAGGGTACTCCTTGGTGATTTTTTGGCACCATTCCTGTTTACATCCAACACCCTCCTCAGTAAAATGGCATGTGAAACATAATTAAAACAAAAAATATATAATCTCAACAAACTGCATTTTAAAATGAACAAGAAAATAACATAAGAAAGAAAATACATGTTATCTAATCTACACAGTACAAAAAGGAAATATTGATTTACCTTACTTAGAAATTTCTGTGTCTTCCGTGTGTGACAAACAGAATTCCTTAACAGCATCCAAAAATATCTGAACTAGAATCGGTATATTGTGGTCGCCACAAAAATCAGAATCAAATTTAATTCTGTCTTAATCATTTTAGTATTAGCTTCATACACCCACATCCTAGTAAAAATCAAAATCTCAGTAATACTGAAATGACTCTCCTTGAACCATGATCCCTTTCTAATGGAACGCTTTATGTAGTAAGCATATAAACCTTTCTTGCGACAAACCCATTCAAAGCCATCTGAATGATCTTAATATTCGACCATACACATTTTCTTCGTATAAGCAGGACACTTATAATGATTACTGAGTAAACCTTCATTTACACACCAGTCAATTAATGCTTTTTTTCCCATTCATTCCAAATTGTACAGAAACTTCAGATTACTTTTATCACAGGCAGCCATTTTACGATGCACAGCACAAAATAAGCAACATACTTCTTACACGACATCCAATGCAGAAATATGCCCTGAGAAATCAAAATCACCATGATGATGCATTACAGTCAATTGCATCATGATAGGGTTTCCAAAGCATATAATCTAAAATATTGAGGTTACCATAAATGAAACAACAACTTGGCGATAATTTAAGGGGTATCCCAAAATTTAGACTAACCAGCTTCTCTGTTATCTTAGGCAAACTGTGTTTAAGAAAAATTATTTGTGGAATAAAAATTATTACCATGGATTAAAAAATTTCTAATTAGTATATATTTTTTATCTGGTGGGTCATCATCATTCTGACTATATATCAGGTAAAGTAGTTTTAATTATTTTTCCTTAGATATTATTGTTTGAATTCTGCAGGCTTTTAAAAAAATGAAAAATGCATACATAACTATGTTTTATACAATTTTATCCTTTTACATTTCTTTTCCTTTTTAATAGAGACAAAATACATGATTGTCCCCCCCCCCAATAACAGTTATTTAAGAGTGAGATAAGTTACTTTTTGGTCTAATGTGCTGATATTCATTCAATGTGAATATAATGGAAAACTTAAACCATACATTTCTGTCGTAGAGTGCTTCTCCACACTGAGGTGACAAAAGTCATGGGATACCTCCTAATATTATGTCGGACATCCTTTTGCCTGGCAAAGTGCAGCATCTCAATGTGCCATGGCCTGAACAAGTTGTTAGAAGTCCCCTGCAGAAATATTGAACTGTGTTGCCGCTATAGATGCCCATAATAACACAAGTGTTGTCGGTGCAGGATTTTGCACACGAACTGACCTCTCTATTGTGTCTCAAAAATATTCATGTCGGGCGATCTAGTGGTCAAATCATTTGCCGGAATTGTCCAGAATGTTCTCCAAGCCAATCATAAACAGTTGTGACCCAGTGACATGACGCATTGCCATCTGAAAAAATTCCATTGTTGTTCCATCATTCCATTTCTAGTCAATGATCAGTTCATTTGGACCAGAGGACTCAGGCCATACAAACGGTCCACACCATTATGGAGCCACCACCAGCTAGCACAGTGCCTTGTTGACAATTTGGGTCCAGGTCTTCATGGGCTCTCCGCCACACTCGAACTCTACTATCAGCTCTTAACAACTAAAATTGTGACTCATCTGACCAAGCCGCGGTTTTCCAGCCATCTAGAGTTTGCCAAGAATACCTGAAATTAGGTATTCTTGGCACGTTCTTGACACTATGAATCTAAGAATGTTGAATTCCCTAACAATTTTCAAAATGGAGTGTCCCATGCCTTTAGCTGTAACTACCATTCTGCATTCAAAGTCTGTTCATTCCCATTGTGCAGCTATAATCTCATCAGAAATCTTCTCACATGAATAACTTGAATACAAATGAAAGCCCTGCCAATGCATTGCCCATTTATACATTTTGTATGCGATACTACTGCCATCTGTATATTTTCATATTGCTATCCGATGACTTTTATCACCTCAGTGTATACATAAGTAATTAATTGCACATGATTGAAATATGTTGGGGAAAATGTGAATGACATGAAATGTTTGAAGAAAATTTTTACTCTTTACTTCAAGCCATTTTTCTAATATCCAAATGGTTTGTATTTATGAAGTCTCTAAGAGCACAGGTAAAGGCTAAAGCTCAATTCAGTTTTCCGTATTTTTTTGTGCTTACAGTAGATTTAGCTACATTTTTTTATACAATGCGAGCAAGACTTCTTTTCCACTTTACATTATTAGATTTTTCTTTCGAAATGAAATATTGGTACCTGAATTACAGAGCTTGTAAGAATTTATAATAACATTCAGAGAAAAAGGGAGGAATATTTTGTTATAAAGCGAGTTTCTTTAAAAATCTCACAAATCGGTCGGTATTCCTAGTATTTATTTTATGTATTCATATAGTAAATAACTTTTAAAATCATTTAAATGAAATAGGAAAAGTCTGAAAAGTATGGTAAGGGGTGTATAAAAAGTGAAGATAGAATGACTTTACCACATAATGTGTGTTTTCTTTTCAACTTCATTTTTCAATAGCGAATTTGTTTTCATCATCTTTTGCTAGCTGTTTCAAATAAAAAAGCCGTTTAAAAAAGGTACAATTCCAGTAATGAAATGGAGGAAATTGCAAACATTTATTTATAGTTTTACATTTAACCAAATTTAAAAGTTAAGTATATTTATTTTTATTTTAATATGCCTGTTTTCCTAAAAAATTATTTTGTTCTAAACAGGTTGCATTTAAGAATCAGTGATTCCTTAGAATCATTAGATTTTTCTGAATTGCTGATTATTCTAAAATAGTAATTTTTTTTAATTGCTAAATTGGAATGCAGTTGTTGGTAATAAATTGAAGTCACTTATTAAAAAATAATATTTTATAACATTTTATTTTGCTCAATGTTTTCTTAAAATCCGTTCCCAGGAAACCGGTGTATTTCCTAATCAGTAGCACCTTAGTATTGAAAAAATGCGGTATGTAAATAAAAATTTGAAATAATTGCATGTTTCTAGAAAAGCTAGATTAATGTAAAGCAAATAATTAAAGACTATCTGCTAATTTTCATACAGGCATAAAGGTATACAGCATTACCATATTTTCAAACATATTTTCCTCTTTTTTTTTTAATCCGAAAATCAGGAGGAGAAATTTATGCGGTTGATTTAATTTCGGAAGAACATGATTGCTGTTAAGTACATAACAAATGAAAGAAAAGTATTCATGGGTAGATTGCAGGTAACTCTTTTTTTTTTTTTTAATATAAGGAACCTATATTTTAATAAGAAAACTTAGTAATGTTAACACTACAATATCTAAAAATGTCTTCATTTCTACTCCCCTGTAACTTGAAATTTGGTCCATTCTTATTGTTATGTCTGCTTTTCCTTAGTCCTCAAATCATTCATAAATGAAGAAAGTGAATATGCAGCTCACTCAGCAAAATCATAAGCTGAATTTCAGTTTTATGTTTGCTTAGTGATTGGTCTGTTAGTATTGGGAATAAAATTCAGTTGTTAGAAGGGCATGAGCTTTACAGGTAGTTTGGGAGGGTTTCTGTTTGTCAGTAATATTAAAACAGTCACTATGTGGATGAATCCATTTTAAAATTTAGGGGAGCTAATTCTCTGTATGAAAAAGGGAGAAATACTGCCAGTAGTTAAAAAAATTTTCAGAACATAGTATTAAGAAGCTGGGGGGGATAAGCAAGTGGGAAAAATATGTGAGGAAATAAGCACAAATTTATCAGCACTGAACCATATTGATTTAAAGATTCACAGTGTCAGATTTAACTTGAATGCATAATTTGAGTTATATAACTTATGTGATGTGATTTTGTTGTAAACAATTTTAAATTAAAATTTAGCTGTGTGATTCTAAAAACTTTAGACGTCTAAGACTTTTTTTAAGGGGAAGAGGTTAACGTCATTTGATTTTGTAATTTTCTTTCAAAATTTAATATTAATTAAAACCCATATAAGGAAGCAGATTTGATTAAAAATACATTTAATTGTCAATGGACATATAATCATGCACGTAAAATTTATAATAAGTAATTTTAAAGCAAAATTAAATACAGATTTTGGCACTATTAAGTGTCTGTTATCTTTTCATGAAACTCTGTACAAAACTAATTTATTAAAATATTTCAGATCAAATAAAATTTATTCAAAAAAATTTATGTAAAAGTCACTCAAAGGAAAAAAAGGTATTGCACTATTTGAAAGGTGAAACTGTACATTTGTAGTCCAAAGAGATTTGTCCCTAAAGGACTATTGTTTTCGTTATGTGATTTTGCATCGATTCACTACAAACAGTGAACCACTTTTCAAACTGTTGCCACAAAGTATCGCCCTGTGTTATATTTAAAGAAATTAAATAATGAAAAATCTGCATAAATGTATGTATATTGCTCGCACAGAGCCATCGAATTTTGAATGGCATAATCCTTCTACGAATATGGGCATGTGGAAGACCAAATTTGAAATTTGTTTTATGATCGATTTCCTATTTTTTAAAACTTTGACGAATTTTTGATTAACAAACTCAAGGATTTCAAAGCGAGCAATGGCAACGTTGTGCAGAAAAAACATTTTTATCTCCAGCGCGTGAGTCTCTGTATTGGACATTCTGAAGATATGCTCATTTTAAAACTATTTTGCGATATTGCTGTTGAATTGAATTTTATGGTTTAAGTGTGAAGAATGTGATATATAATAAATAAATATAACACAACCACTGCTTCTAGATTTGCATAACAATACTTCTAGATTCAGACTAATTAAAAACTGGAATATTTAGAGCTTCACTGGCTGTAAACGTCAGTTGTCTTATGGTTTTATCAGGGCATTGACAATTCCTGCTTAATGTTTTACATGGCCATTTAATATGTAATTTGTAATGTGTATTTGACAAAAGATAAATCCATTTTTCTTAATTAGGTGTACTTCAGAATAAGAGTACTTTCATGATATTTTTATTTATTTTGTGTACTATATACTACTGTTCTTTCTTAAGTTACAAAATTTTAATCCTTTTTTATGTATAATTGATTCTTACTCTGTACCCTAACAGTATCTTGGATAAAAAGGCTTATTTTGATTATCGGCCCACCATCACAAAAGAGATAGTGACTAATTTTTTGTCAAATTTAAACATGGAAAGACAACAGCTATTTTCGAAAATGGTGCCGTACTAAGAATTACGTAAATTCAATCAACATCCCTACTAAAACATTTGCATTCTTTTTCCCTGCACTCCTCCCCATATGCATAGTGATCTGTTTTAGCTTAAAAAATGTCAGAATATTTCACAGATTGTAGCATCAGCTCACAAATTTAGTCATTAAAAAAGTACAGCTTCGTGGAATGTGAATTTTTGCATTCTTTTTCTGATCAGCAAAACTCCATATTCTGCAGAAATGCAATGTTTCCTTTTTCATTAGCCAGCAAATTTTGCAGTTCTTTTACAATCTCTTAAAAGAAAAAAGTGCACATGCATATCAAACACTTAACAGAAAAATGATTGTGAGATTTGAAAAGGTGACATCCACAATTGTACACAATTGCTGCCATGCAAGTATATTTTCGTTACATTATGGTTTGCCTGGCTTGACAACATTGCCTTGTGAATTCTTTTCAGGGTTGGGCAACTAATTAAAAAGTACCGTTATAAATTTATGATTTCCACTATAAAAAGACCTTTCACCCATTTTAGGTTATCCTAAGTTTTATCTAATTCTGTTATTTTTATGAAGTACGCTAAAACTGAATATTGTTTGACAGTGTCCAGAGGTATGCATAAGTTTTTGATGTGTTTAACCACTTCCCAGTTTTGCCTGAACGCTATTCGGGTACTTGGAAATGGCACTTTTTTTATTTTCCCGAGCAGCGCATGGCAACATTTTTTTCTAGTCTAATACACTGATTTGCCCGAATTTTTTGCTTGTTTATTGTGTAATGTTTCTAACAGATGGCACTAGTAATCCAGTAAAGTTAGAATTGAAAAACAACTGGTTTCAAGGTTAGGTTTTACTGAATTCTTTTATGCAAGTAAAGGCACGAAATTACTTTTCACTAGCTTGGTGTTCTGGCTACTGCAAATACTATTTCTTTTAAATTTGGAGCTAAAATAAAAGGAAGAAGAAAAAATGAATGATAATGAGGCAGCTTATAATGAAGATAACTCTGGATATTGACTCAGATAGGATCTGAATTTCATAAATGTTTATAATCATTATCACTAAATGATAATGAAAGTTTGTGTTCTGACTTCTCTAGGGCTGAAAGAAGTGGAAAGATAGTAATCTAAGCAATTTCGGAAAATTTTGTGACTTGATATAATAATTCTTCTTGCTATCGAACATATATGTAAAACCTAAAAACATTTTAAAATTCTGCATCTATTTTTGTAAAGTGTTCTTTCCAGTTGCTTACTTATTCGAAAAAGCACACTTTAAGGAAAATGTTGCTTTCGATGAAAATTGAAAATAAAATTAGCATAAATCAATAAATTCAAACACTTGTATAATAGTTCTGACTGATGATTTGGGTTTATATAATGAATTTCTTCATAAAAATTTTTATCAAAAATATGCTTATTTTTTTGTCATAATATGACGGTAAAAAGAAACTGTTAAGTGGTTAAATTGCACACAAATATTCTGCAGCAAAAAAAAATGTGTGAATTTGCTTAATATTAAGTTTTGTTTGTATTTAATATAGGTCCTTATAATTAAATGTATTTTTGTGTAATATTACATTTTTTAGAAAGACATTAATATTTTTTCTTTCCTTTTGTTTTTTTAATTTTTAAAAGTATATTTATTTATAGTACGAACAGTTATTTTTCTGTATAATTTACAGTTTTATTCCCAAAGCAAGGGAGGAATCCTTGCAAAGGCTTGTGACTACATCCAAGAGTTGAGAGTTGCTAGTGCTCGCTTACCAGATGTTTTAAAAGAAAATGAAAGACTAAATATGGATTTGGATGCGGTTCGTCAACAGTGTGAAGAACTGAAGAATGAAAACCAAATACTCCGAGCCCATCTTCAGCAGCATGGCATTACCGTTAACACCTTGATCAACAGTTCGTAGTTCCAAAGTGCAACAGAGAGGTGACTATACATTCCCCCCCCCATGTTACTTTCATATTTTTTATTCTTGGCAGTAACATTTCTTGCATTCTTTGAATATTATTGTTGAACAGTGTAATCAGATTTTTCTAAGATTCCCTCAGACGCAAAGTTTCTGCCATTATAATTTTATTTACCATGTTATTATATTATTTACTGTCATAAAATAGATTTTATGGTACCTGAAAGCAAATATATAATTTAAAATATTTAAATTGAATACATACAAGTTTATTTAATGCTTATCACTTCAATTATCATCCATATTGATTAATTTTTTTTTTTTTTTTTTTTTTTTTTTTTTGTTAACCTTAAGCATCAGATTTAAGTTAAACGTGAGGTAGTTTTAAATCTAATGCAAGTGATTGAATGATGAATCAACATTGATTTTATCTGTATTACTCTGCTTTTGTGTACAAGTCCTATGGTTGCTCAGTCTCTTAGTAGATTGCCAAATCTCCTGGGTTTTAATTTTTAGTCTCTACTAAGGAAAATATTTCCCAGCAATAAATGAATTTATTGAATTAGTTAAACTTAAATTGTGTAAATTCTATTTTACATTCCTAGCGATTTTCAGCATAAATTTTCTTATTGAATTTATTATTTCTTATTGATCTGAATGTATCTACTTTAGGCATTTGTAGAATTTTATATGAAGATCTGATACATTCTCATTATAATAGCCCCCAACCTTAGGATGTCGTCAAGCTCATGAAGCCTGAGTGTAAAAATAAATGACACCAATATATAATAATACTCGCACGTTGTTTTCTAAGAAAATTTTTTACAGTCGTCATGATAAGGGCGTATTTGCAAAATATTTTTCAAAAATTCATCAGAAACATCATTTTATTCATATGTATTTTCTCCACATAAATCTCGAAAGATATGATCAAATCTACTGTTCACGGAGTGCTCTGTTGCTGTTGCTTTTATGCCAGATGAACAAACTGTCATCGATTTTATCTACTTGCCCATTAAATCTAGGGTTAATGAAGCATTAGATGTTGGGAAGAAACTTCCTTCATGCAGTTGTTCCAATCAGTTGCTCTTTGTCAGGTGAAAGACCTCTTTCTTGAAAAAATTACATGGTGTCTACCTCTGTATTTGGTAAATTAAAGATTGTTAACTGCATATTTACATAAAAACAAGTAATATTTTTTTGAACCAATGCAATTTGAAAATCGGAACAAAATTTAAATATGATGCTAATATAAAAACACCTGGTGAGAGAAAATATGTAACACAATGCTAATACCTGTGGAGAGATATGTTGGCGTTGATTACTGATTCAGTCTCAGAGGCTGCTGTGATAAGGAAATAGTGAAGATTCAACATATGTTTAATTTTATTGTACATCAATATACGTTATATTGCCAAGTTTAACTGCACAACAGTGTGTACATTATTAATTTTATTTTTTATACATTATTATTTATTGATTTTATTTTTTATATAAAATTTAGATTATCTAATTAGTAAATATTAGTATATTTTACATCTGAATTATATTATAAATAGCTGAATAATATGAATTGTGCATTCTAAAGTGACTTTAATTCAATTTAGAATTGTTTTAAAAATATCCCAGTTTTTCACTTTTCAACTGACAGCTTTAAAATCCATTATTTAATTAACATAGTATTTTAAAAATCTTGTCAATTATCAAGCAAATTAAAATATTTAAAGTATATTTTCTTTTTTTCTAGGATTTTATCGTCATGCAAAGTATACATCTTTGCCTTGTTATTGATTGTATTCACATGAGACTAAGGAGCCGATGGCATACAAGTCTCTTTTTTCATTATCACTTATACATAAAACTATCATTATTGATCAGTTCAATGCATTTTAAAGAAATGCAGATTAATGATTATAGTCCTGTGCTTTAATGTGCAGACATTTTTGTGATCTTTCTTGCTAAGAATTTCAGGATAGATTTTTTTATGTGAATATGTGAGCAGCCGCATGTGAATTACAATGTTACTCTTTCAATTTGCTTTTTGTAGAAAATTTGTAAATATGGTTGTAGAATGTTTCTGCAAGTTGCTTGTGGAACTTGTAAAAAGATCCATATGAAAAAAATATTTAAATTCTGTGAGATATTTCTAAGTCAGTAAAAAAACTGTACACACATTTTCTGTCTTGCGCATTGTTTTCTTTTTAAATATTATTTAGTGTATTATTTTTGAAATAGTTCTTTAACATTACTGATACTTTTTTTTTTGTAAAAGTTTAATAATCCTTTTAGTACGATTTTATATGAATAACAGCAAGCACTTTTCAGATAAATAAAACACATTGTTAAGCTGTTGTCTATTTTAAAATTTTGAGTAGTTAAAAAGATTTGTAATATACAAATTTATGTATATTCTAAAACTGGAAGTAATCATATAAAACTAGTAAACTGTTTCCAAATTCCATAAAACTATGTTCAGTTTTTTTAGTGTATAACAATAATGTGAAAAGCAGTTGAAACATAACATTTGTATATTTATATATAAATTTTTACCCTAAATATTTCTCTTCGTCTGTATAGTTTTTTATTATTATTTAAAATGTGGCTGATGTGTAATTAAGATGGTCAGTTATAATTCATGGGGAAATTTTATTAAAGGAAGATGACATGAAATTAAAACACTTGAAACAATTTATAATTACTTCTGTTACACTAAGTTGGATTTAAATGCTAAATATTTAGTTAATTTTAAAATTTTCTAAAAAATTGTATAATTTTTTAAACAAATCCACAGAATCAAAAAATGAAATGAAATTTCTTTTCTAAATCCATAGCTAATAAATATGTACTTATAAGTAAAAATCATAACATCTCAGTACATGCTTACCTTCTCATGTACTATTTACATGATCTGATGTGATGATAATTCTAGTTTTTCAGTATGTCATGGTCCTTAGATACAATATTATATCTAAGGAAAATCATTAAAAATCAGATCTGTGTCATTTATATTAATCATCAACAAGCAGAGTTTTGTAAGTATAAAAGTATTCACAACTGGATAAAACTATTATTTATACTCTAGAACAAAATATTATTTTAATGCCGTTCTGTAAAGTGTAATATAATATTTTCCCTATTTTGTGATAAAAGTGCACTGTTATGAATTAATTTTTTATATTGGAGTATGTAAAATTTGTTATATCTCTGAAAATGTAATTCATTTCATAAAAAAATCCACCACTTGAAATTTTTTATAGAAGAATGAAGACGAGTATTTTTATTTCTTTAGTAATCTGTGTTCTGAATATTTCCTGCGTTTTCTTTTTTTGAATTCTTCATTTTATAGTATTTAAATTTGGTAGTTTTTTTTGTATGAAGCTTTTATTTTAAAAGTGTATTCACTTTTGCTTAGGATGCTAAAACCTTGTTTGTAAGAATGTGCACATTTTCAGATGTAAAATTCTTATTTATTATGTTTATGTGATTAAATTAATTAGCACACAAATTAAATATTAATTATCAGTATCAAAGAAACAGGATTGTAACAATATTAATAAAATAGATATGTATTTGTGATGATTGACATGCAAATTTAAACTTGCACTTAAAAAAATATAGTTGCATATGATGAATGAGTTATTTGCATTAATTAATTACTATTTTTATTCATTCTTATCTATTTTAATTGTTTTACACATTTAAACATTACTTGATCAGATTTTTAAAACATGAAAATATCATCTAACTTTTAAGTATTTCTTATGTTCTAAACCCAGTAATTTTTAAAAGCAACATTTTCTTACTTTTTTTTGCTACCAACCAGTATAAATATATAAGCAGGTACTAGTATACTTGAATGAGATGAGCAGTCTCTTTTAAAATATTTCAGAATCTAATTTAGTTATGTGGTAAATTATGCACATAAACTCAAAGAAATGTTTCTAAATTTCTTTGGAATTTTATTATTTCATGAACTGTTTAGATTGTTTCCCTAGTATGTATGGAAGCCTTTTCAGGATGATTAAAAAAAAGGAAATATTTTTTCAGTGCCTTTCTCGTTCCACCCTTTCTGTAGATAACAGTTAAAAAAGGACTATTCCTTGTAGAATATACAAACATATATATTATATATACACATGAAGTGTAGAGATAATGCTTTGTAAATTGTGTAAAAACAGAATTTGTATAAAGTTACTTGCAATGTTCAATTCTTTGCTTTGGAAGAGTTTTATTGACAAGACTGGAAAATAAAAGAATTAATCTACTTGTTTTCTTTTTCTTTCATTTAGATCATTTCACTCATTTAGATGCCATCAAGATAAATGTAAACTAATAATATTTTAACTGGTTGCAAATGGAGTAATTTTTTATGAGCTACTAGGTGCTCCAGGAGTACTTAACAATGTGTCAAATGTGTCTCTATCGAACATCCTACTTTGTCATTAAAAAAGTGTGCATACATTTTTAAAGTACAATTTAAAAAATATAAATATGAAAAATTATTTTAAAATGTATGATATTTGGAAAAATAATAACCAGTGTTCATTTCTTGCCTCATTAGGACAATTATCGCAGTATTCACTCCTTATTTTTAGTACAAGTCCAATGAAAGGCCCAGAATTTGTTTTTATTTATGTCATGCCATGTCTGTGAAATAGTTTTTAATTAGATTTTTTGATAACAATACAGATTTCGTATAGTTATTAGTTTTCTTTATTATTTTATCAAAAAGTTGGTCTTTGAAAAAAAGAATTTGTTCAAACCTATCAAAGGAAATTTGTGAACATGTCACTTTTGTACCTATTGAAAAATGTACTTTTAAGGGGCATGAACTCATTTTCTGTAATATTGACCCAATTATAGTCTGCTTCTTAGGTGCTTGTACTATTGGTGTCAGATTTAATAGGTCATAATTTCTGTCTTTGATGAACTACAATATTGCTTTTGATATTATCATTCTAAATATTCCCATATGTCAGCGGTTCTCAACCTTTTGACTATTAAGCACCATCTAAACACAATTTGAGAATTTTTAGTACCAGTTTTACAATAATTATTTTTCAATTTCTTGATAGAACTATTAAAAATATGTAAATTGCCATTTGCACCTATTGGTTATCTGCATTAATTATGCACACATAAAAATATTAAATTATAAAGTGGTTACTATTTTAATTATCACAGTTTAAGTGGTGTAATTCAATAAGCTATTTGGTTTTTCTAGCAAACTAAGCTTTCAATTTGACCCCACAACTTCACTTCTCCACAGGAGGAGGAAATAGTCACAGACATCCAAGAGCAAACAGTTTTTCATCGAAAACATAAGATTTGCTTTCCTATCCATATCAGATTTACCAATTTGGCTATCTGTGACTCTTCTGGCAAGCAGTTTTCAATCTGAAATCTATGATTTGTTTTCGCTATCATTTTTTTATTCCATCAGTTTGATTATTTAGTTTTATGAAAATACAGTTTTCAATCTGAAACCTATATTTCAAATTGCCCCTGTTCTGCTAATTTGGCAATTTGTGACTTTCCTCCTTTTTTAAAACAAAAAGATGAAAATCAGTTTAAAAGAACAAACAAAAGATATTGTAATAATGGTAGAATGTTTGAACCATAGTATCAGCTTCCAAGGAGACTATTTGGATGCACAATCTGGCTCTTCAAAACTCAGTTTCAGTTTGCCATCTTTTATACAGTTTTCCTCCATGTATTAATAAGATTAAATAAAAGCCATAAAAACGTAATTTTTATTTACAAATTTATTTTCAACGACCTCTGCATACCAAATAATTGGCAATTTTTCTCCAGAATGTTTTTAAAAGTAAGTACTTTATTGGGCTGATTCTTTTACAAGGTGCATTCAATCCTTAAATGGGACATATAAGGACATGAAGACTTACTGGCATAATGAGAGCTGTATCCCAGTATTCTTCGAACAGTAAAATTTCAAATGACTGACAATGTGCAGATTTCTTTTTTAGGTCTTTCATGAAAAATGCAAAAAAATAATACTATATTGGCCAGAATTTAAGACAGCCCTACATATTAGATGACCCAGCACATTTTAAGATATTTTTACATAGGAAAAAAACAGCTTCTGTATAAAATGCCTGTATCTGATAACAGTACAGATGTTTTTCAAAGAGAATAAAGGATTTAACAACATCATGTGAAATTTAAATAAGCTTTCTTGTAATGAGAAATATATCATTTGAGATATTTTTTAAAGGATAAGCTATATTCTACATTAAAAAAATAAAGACAAAAATTTCTCATTTAATGAGAGCCCATTTTTCTTAATTTCATGTTGCAACCAGTTAGTCATCTAAGTTTTAGAAATCACTAAAATTTTCTATATTTAATAACATAAAAGTCTTTTTTCTAAGCTTTTATGTCATAAAATATTTAGGCTTTTAATCCTTTTAATGTTTTATCGTAATAATAAAAAGAAAATCCTTGTCATAAGCTCTCTTTATCTATAAAAAGTGACTACAGAACTTGGCATGCACATGCAAGCTTCAATATCAATAATTAAATTTAGGAGTCAGAAATAAAGTATTCGTGACACCGCAGTTTCTCATAAAAGGGAAAAGTGAATGGCTGCTGAACATCTAAAGAAGTGTATAATCTAGATCAGCGGTTCTCAACCTTTTGACTAACATATACCAGCTAAACAAAAATTGAAAATCTTTAGTACCACCATTACATTTTACAGTGATTATTTTCCAATTTCTCAATAAAAATATTTAAAAAATGTTTTTCCGTTTGCATAACCTATTGGCTATTCATATTAAATATGTCCACATAAAAAATGTTAGCTTAAAAATTGGTTACCATTTTAATTATCAAAATTTAAGTTATACTTAAATTTAGTTAAAATTGGGCCTGTTTAAGAGAGATCAATTTCTTTGTCTGGCCTTATTTCACTTAGCTTTAAGTTGATCACTTTTAATTTTTCTTATTTATTTTCAAATAAAACATGGAAGAAAATCCTTGTTCACACAAATAGGTTTGTGCGAAAGCAATAAAAATTTAGCTTTATTGAAATGCCTTTAACTTCTTTTTTTCGGTTAGCCAAAAGTTAAGTACAGATTTTTTAATCTTCAGTTAGAGTTCGATCGCAAGAAAAAAATTTTATCAATTTTTTTTTTTTTTTTTTTTTCTTCACAAGATAAAATTTCAGGTTACATGGCAAACACTAAATCTTACTTTTCTAACCATTTTCTTTTTTCATAATAATAAATATTTATCATTTTAAAAGAGTGATTTTTAATGTTGGATGCTAATTGTTTTTATTGTCAAATTATTTTCTAGTAGAAAACTTAAAGCTTAAAATCTTATCCAATCTTGATTATTAGCGTCAGTTTTTTTTTTTTTTTTTTTTTTTTTCATTACATTTATTTTATCTCTGGTATACAAATTAACACTTTATCCTAAACTTGATTCATTTAACTTTCTAAAAATATCACCTAAATATGCTAAACATGTCAACTATTATTCACTAAATAAACAATTTTGCAATTCAAAATTTGAACCACGGAGGAAAATTCGAATTTTGATGAGAAATTCAAAGAGACAATTTAAAAATTTGCCTCTGAATAAATCACCTTACTTTGGAATGTAACAAAACCATTTCATCTTCACAGCCCATCTCTTGGCATAAAATTGTAAATATTCTTGGAATTTAAAGATTGGCTTTTAATGAAATTAACAATTTTTACAGCTTCATTCAAAACGATTTTCAGGGACTATTTTGGCAAAGCTAACGATTAATAGGGCAGTGAGTAAATTTAGTTTCGGGTGTGACCTTCTTTATTTGAGAAATAAGACCGGAATGTTTTCCTGTTAAAGCCTGAGCTCCATCACTGCATACGGCAATGCAGTTATTCCAGGGAATATCATTCTCAGACATTGTTCTCTGTCAGTTCCTTTGAAAATTTCATTTGCAGCTGCTCTATCATGAAGAGATTCACAGAATAAGAATACTCTTTGGCATTTCGTTTATCTTCTTCGAAATGTATGTAAACTAATAATTGAACAAAGTTCATTATATTAGTACTTTCAGCCAATTGCGATGTGAAATACTCACTGTGTTTTATTTTTTAAATAAGTGTCTCTTTTATCGAATTTATCATTTTATGAATTCGTCGACTTACTCTATCATTTGAGAATGGAATATTATTAAGTTTTTTTTCTCCAATAGTTTGAACCTTCCCAGTCTTGGTGATTCTTTTTTTCTGCTGTTAGAGACAGCAAATCAACATAAAAGAAAATGATTCTAAGTGACAATAAAGCAAAATGAGCCCAAAATGGTGGCTATTACTCCATTTGAAAACATCATGTATGACTTTTTTTTTTTTTTTTTTTTTTTTTTTTTATGGCTAAAAGAAATTTGTGAAAATAAAAACTGATTATTTTGCTAAAGTCTGAGTGGCTATTGACCTAAACAATTAATTTATGCAACCTGGCAGGTCGCATAGATTAATTGTTAGAGAAAAAAAACTTAAACATGATATTGGGGTATTTAATTTTTGAATTTAATAGTTATACATACTTTGTTTCTTTGTGTACCACCTGCCAGCCACTGCCATATGCATTTTCATTTTAATTATTTTCAGCCAAATTATCTCTGTACCGTAAATTCGAATTCATCTTCGCTTAATGAAAATCCATTTTTTATTTCATACTTATGATTTCCACCTATTTTATGATAAGGAATATGTTGATAAAAAGTTGGAAGAAATGCAGCCATCTTGTTCACCAGACTGATTACAATAAGCATATTCCAAAATATCTTCCTACATGTATGAAGCACAGATATTACAGCAGTGACAACAGAGTTACCCGCTTATATTACAGCATTGGCAATGGAGTTATCAACTCAGCTCTCAGCTTACAATGTTATCACAGTGCCAACAACATACTGTTGTGCTCTACAAGTTCGTAGATTTGTAGTACTTGAAGATAACACTTGACGAATAATCAAAACACAATTTATTTGCCAGTATTACACAGGACAGTTCCAAAGACGTTTGCAGTCATCAAAGGACTACGATAAACACACTGAAACAATCAACAGCACTGTCTCCCAGCTATAACTGTGAAGACAGCTTCATGGCAAAGTACTTAGCAAGCAAGTACTCGAGCTAATCTCTGAATTCAAGATATTCCTACTCCACATACAGGCAGGGTAGAGATATGGCATACTGCGAATTTTGTCGCCAGATGAACGATTTTGAATCAAATCTGGCTACCATGAG